GAATAGTAAGATAACCTTTTCCTTCCATTTATTTATCATACCATTACAATAACATTTGGGGGATGAATAGGAATCAGTCTGTTCCAGTCCATGGGATTATTTTTGATAAAAACTAATTCAACTTAAAATCCAGAACCGATCTTGTCGTCGCAACTATTTTGTACACTGTAAGTTCCTAAAATACATATGTGCATAGAAGTAGGATTCTCCAGTCCATTTAGTTTTCCCAGTGACATGCCTCTTTGAGCTAAGAAAAAACATATTGCCCAGTTCCGCACCGAATTTGTAACAATAACCTCTCCTTCATGGTTAATCATATCTACATGGAAGTTGGTACATTATTAGATCCCTATATGCAAATGTACATGTTTTAGGTAGTTCCTCTCCACTGAGTTTTTCTTTATGTTATGCCTCTTTCAACTTAGAACTTTTGGCCCTGCTCCGCACTGACATTTCCATCATAACTCCGACATGTTTATTCGTATCTATACAAAACTTTACAAATTTTTATATCATAATATACAGATGTGCATGTGGGTAGATGCTCCAGTCCATTGAATTTTCCAAAAGATATGTCACTTTGAACTAGATATACTTTGGCTGTGTCAAGTGCCTACGTTGTCATCGCAACCCCTCATTCATGGTTTATCATATCTACATGGAAGTTGGTGCATTGATTGATCATAATATACAGATGTGCATGTTCAGTGCGATTTTCTAGAGTAAATTGCCCATCAGACTTAAAATTCGTTGGCATTGTCCAGTTTCTGCTTTGTCATCACAGGTGTTCAAAAATGGTTCATTGTATCTATATGAACACTTGCTATCTCGTTACATCCTTTTATGTTAATATTTAGGAAGTAATGTACATCCTTTTATGTTAATATTTAGGAAGTAATGTACATCCTTTTATGTTAATATTTAGGAAGTAATGTTTCTATTTGAAAACATTCTTCTTATCTTTATAATAGTTTTGGCGGTAACATGCTGATGAATGTTGGATCAACAAAATACGGCAAAATAATGCCAATATTTGAAGAAAGACTCCGTCAGTTTGGCAAATGGTTGAAGGTCAATGGAGAGGGAGTTTACGGAACGGTTCCATGGAGTCACCAGAATGACACAATAACCAGAAAAACATGGTATGACATTTATTAAATCGCGTAACACAAAAGTGAAATAAATGGGGAATGTGTCCATGGGACACAGATGATGCCCCCGCTTGCATAAAACATTATAAAGGGACACAACTCAAGAACGGTACGTTACCCAAGTTTGTTCTTGATCTGAGTTTTGTAGTAATAAGCATTGTGTATAAGTTTCATAACATTTGGTAGAGGCAAACTAAAGAAAGAGAACGGAAATAAAAAATTCAGCATTTTTTTTTTCATTTAGAAGGGACATAACTCTAGAACAGTAAAAGTTATACCACCAAAATTCAAACTTGATCTGTGTTTTATGGTAAAAAGCATTGTGTATAAAGTTCATAACATTTCGTTGAGGCAAACTAAAGTTAGAGAACGGAAACGAAAAATTTAGCAATTTTTCCATTTGTAAAGGAGCATAACTCTAGAACGATAAAAGTGACGCCACTAAATTTCAAATTTGATCTGTGTTTTGTAGTAATAAGCCTTGTGTACTGTAAACAGGGAAATTTTCGCGGCAGTTTTGTTTTCGCTATTTTCGCGGTAAGAGTTGAAACGCGAAAATAAAACGACCGCGAATATTTCAAGTAAATCTGAACACGAATATGAAGACCATACATGAACGTATGTCAATAGGATATGTAGATGGCTAATTTAAAACATCGGTTTTACAGACGACAGATCTATACCGCAAAACATAACTTTATTTCTGAAGGAAAGTCAGTGTTAGATATCAATACTTTATCTCATGATAGTCCTAATTAATCCAAGTGGACATTACGGATATTGCTAAATAAACAACTATCGTTACAGTTATGTAAATGACACCTGTCAATCAGTTTTAAAATGATTACCCATTGTATCTGTTGCACAGATCAATCAGATTAAAATATTAACTAATAAACAGTAATTCTGTCAGCATTTAATTCGCTCTTAATTAGGTTATTTTTCTTTGTTTATTGTGATTGTGTTTGTACAAACAAACATGACTAATAGTTTTAAATGTGAACCGACAAAAAGGAATTTTGATTGGTTTTATCACTTGATTTAAATACATTTGTTAATACTGTTCAGCTTCCAAATCATTAATAAAAAAACTTATATAGGACACCGACCGGGACATCGCGAATTCAAAACGGCACGAATCTAGATTTTGTTGGTAAATCGCGAAAAAAAGACGGCGCGAAAATTTCCCGGTTTACAGTATACGTTTCATAAAATTTGGTTGAGGCAAACTAATTTAAAAGTTAGAGAACGGAAACCAATTTTGGGACGAACGGACGTACAGACGGACAAGGGTAAAACGTAATGCCCCCACCACTACGGTGGGGGCATAAAAAAGTATCCATAAAAGAAATGAAGAATTAAATGGTTATTCTTATACATTAAACAAATTGGCAAGACATATTGATGTAAAGGTACTATGTTCATGGCATTTGACTCTCTTTTCTTTTTAAATCTCGAGGTAATGTCAAATATAATTTATACTGGTTTGTTCCTACATTTCTGGCACCAGAGAGATTAAATAATTAAATAAAAATAATGGTAAGAAACACAGCTGATTTATTGAAATTGCATGGTGAAGAAGTTTACAAATAAATGAATATATCTTTTGGCTCTCTGTTTGAATATTACTATTAATCTCTTGTTGAATATCTTATGGATCTATTAAACCGATGTTGCTTTTACAGGTATACCAAACACAAAATGGAGAAGGAAGGAACTGTGTTTTATGCATTTCTCCTTACATGGCCTACAGACACAGTTCTGAAATTAGGAGCACCGATCCCATCACAACAAACAGAGGTTAGCATGCTCGGTTACCCAGACAAATTTATTTGGAAAGCTGGTCCAGGAGGCCATGGAGTTTATGTCACTATACCAATTATACCATGGAACAAACTACCATGCGAATGGGCATGGGTACTTAAATTAACACATATATCAAATTAGACTTAAAATGTATTTGATGATTGATTTGGATATGTCTAATCATTATTTTAAACTAGAAGCGTGTGTAAACCTTGGGTGCAGGTCACTATTACAATTTTAACCGAATGTACCGTAAGGTTACCATTGTTAACCTCTGATATACTACCAAATGTACCCTTAGTATGCTAATCACATATGTGCGCACGAACCTCAAAGTGTATTTTTTTAGTTATCAGTGTGTGATCTTCAGCAAAAAATTGCAAAGCTTCTTCTATGTCAATTTCGATTTAGTCACCTGTCTGACTCGCCATATCAATTCAAATTGCAATGAATCTTTTCCGCGTAGATCTGTCGATTTTAAGTCAAACAGATGACAAAAAAATCCGAAGTGGTAGCGATAGAATAAATAAGATAATGGAGATATTATATAGCTTTCCTTGTGTTTTATTGCGCATCATTCTACGGCGCGATAGACATGTTACTAAACCTACTAGATATTTGGAATTGTTTTAAAATGTTGATATATTCTTTTGTATAATTCCAACGAAACAAGTGATTGAGTATTCTCAAACAAAATTTGTAGTGTACGATAAAAATCGTAACACAAACTTAAAATATTGTATTTATATGTATTCTTGTATATTAATTGATTTGAATATCTTATCATGAGTGTCAGCCTACAAACTTTTCTCCTAAGTTTAATTAGACTAACCTTTTTTTTAAACCTCATTATGTTTGCTTGGTGTGATTATTTCTATATTTTAGGTGATATGAATATCCCTCTCCCATAATGTATACATTTCGTAGGACATAACACTAGAGTTAAGGCCTTTAAATGTCTTTGGTGTCTGAAAAAAGTATATTTTTACGAATACTTTTGTCCTATGTGTATAAACTTGCTCCAGGTCCGTTTCGTCTAATAAACAAATATTAAGATCAAAATTCGAAAAAAGCAAACAAAACTTAGGGAGCATATATAACACATAGAATTTAAAAAAAATAATATAAAAAAAGCCTGTTAAAATCAATTTTGTGGCAGCAATACTTATAGCAAGGACCCTAGAGATGAAGTGTGTAGGCCCATCGACGTGTGGACATGCCCTAGCACTCATCAACCTTGTCCCAGTTATGGGTCAATAGCCGACTGGATGAAGGTCGTCAGCCTTGGAAGGCAGATCATCTAGGAGAAGAAAACTCTGATATAAAATTCCGGGTAGATTTGACTCGTCAGCCTTGTCGACAATTGATCTAAAGGAAAGAAACCTTGAGTAAAGATTCTCTGGTTCTCCAGGTTGGGGATTGAGCGATAGGCCAACAACCTATCCTCGTAAAAACTATAAAGTTACAGAAACGCGAAATGGAAGAACGACTTTTCTGATGGGAAATACCGAGGTTAGACTGGAAAACAGAAATCAGTTAGAAGGTTCAATGAATGGTGTTGGCCAAACACAGAACCAATTGGAAGCAAACATCAGGAAAGTACCTTTGGTTCACCCAAGAAAGCACACCAAGGTCGGATGCTGGAATGTAAGAACAATGTATGCTACTGGAAAGACACATCAGGTAGTAAATGAAATGAACAACTATGGAATTGATGTATTGGGTATTAGCGAATGTCGTTGGACTGGAACACGGAAGATCAACCTCAGAGGCGGTGAGACTATGCTATACTCTGGACAAACAGAAAAGCATGAGTATGGAGTAGCATTAATTATATCCAAAGCAAACAGAAAAACACTCATGGAATGGCAACCTATTAATGAAAGAATAATAACAGCTCGATTTTATTCTAGACCTATAAAGTTGACCATTATACAGTGTTATTCACCAACGAACGAAGCTTCCGAGGAAGTAAAAGAGGAGTTCTACCAAACCTTGAATGATATAACAACAAAAGTCCATAAACATGATATGATAATAGAAATGGGTGACATGAATGCAAAGATAGAATCAGATAATGTTGGATATGAAGATATGATGGGGAAGAACGGGTATGGTGTTATCAATAAGAATGGAGAATTAGTTCGGGATTATTGTCAGACTAACAACATTGTAATTGGCTCCAGCATATTCAAAAATAAAGATATTCTTAAATACACATGGACTTCACCAGACGGAAACATCAAGAATCAGATTGACCACATCACGATTGACAAATGGTTTAGAAGATCTATGGAAGATGTAAGGTCATATAGAGGTGCTGATGTTGGTAGTGATCATGAATTACTTATTTCCAGAGTTAAGCTAAAACTTTGTCGACAGAGAGTAAATCAGGAACAGAAGAAAAGATATGATACAGATAAGCTAAAGATACCAAAAGTTGCACACGAGTTCAAACTTGGGTTAAGGAACAGATTTCAGGTATTGGGAGAAACAGAAGGCATAGAAGAACAGTGGATAGAATATGTGAGGTTGGTGAGCAAACACTGGGTTTTAAAGACAGGAAACAACCAGAATGGATCACTGCCAACAGTATCCACAAAATACAAGAACGAAAACAGATAAAACAAAAAATCAATGCTACAAGATCACAAAGACAGAAAGAAAAGCTGGAGAAAGATTATAAAGCAAAGAACAAGGAGGTAAAACTTAGTACAAGAGATGATAAAAGGAAATATATTGATAATATAGCAAAAAGTGCAGAAGATGCAGCAAACAAGGGAGAGCAGAACAAGCTATACATGCTGAGCAAGAAAATTTCCAACAGTGGCATGAAAGGAAACAGACCTGTAAAGTCAAAAGAGGGACATGTAATAACCAACGAGAAGGAACAATTAGAGAGATGGAAAGAACACTTTGAAGAGATTTTAAACTCGAAAGATCCACCCGTACTAGCAGACATTCAACCTGGAGATGTTGTTGATATGAACATTGAACCACCAACCATTGAAGAGATAATAAAGAGTATAAGGGCACTAAGTAATGGTAAGGCTCGAGGTATTGACAACATAGAAGCTGAACTATTGAAAGCTGATGTAGGCACAATAGCAAAAGTCTTTTGCCATCTATTTACAAAGATTTGGAACAGGGAAGAAATACCAACAGACTAACAAAAGGGAATTATAATCAAACTCTCAAAAAAACGAAATTTAGAAGACTGTGACAACTGGAGAGGAATAACATTACTATCTGTACCTGGGAAAGTCCTCTGCAGAATTATCATCAACAGAATTAGAGATGCTATTGACATTCTACGTAAAGAATAAGCTGGGTTCCGAAGAGGTCGAGGCTGTATCAACCAAATATTCATTCTGAGAAATAAAGTAGAACAATGCATTGAATGGAACAGCCCCCTATTTGTCAACTTCATCGACTTCAAAAGAGCGTTTGACACTATCCAAAAAAAAAGATCATGGCAAACTATGGAATTCCAGGTAAAATAATCAGGATGGTGCAAGCATTTTATGATCACTTCAGTTGTGTAGTTGAACATGAGGGTAAACATTCGGAATGGTTCCACATTAAATTTGGAGTCAGGCAAGGATGTATAATGTCTGATTTCCTTTTCTTACTGGTTATAGACTGGACAATGACGCAAACAACACGGAAAAGGCGTGGTATCAACTGGGGAAGATTAGGGGTATTAGAAGATCTTGATTTTGCAGATGATATTGCTCTCCTGTCAGCAACAAGAACACAATTGCAAGCCAAAACAGATGATATACAAAAGATAGCTGAAACAACTGGATTAGAAATAAACAAGAAAAAAAGTAAAAAAATGTGTGTAATGGCAAACAACATCCAGCCTATTACATTGGACAACGAAGAAATATAGATGGTTGACAGTTTTACATACCTTGGAGCGGTTATAGATACCAGCGACAATGCAACAGCCGACATAAGGAATAGAATAAAAAAAGGCAAGAGCCGCATACTACAAGTTAAGAAAAATATGGACATCAAACAAATACAGTAGAAACGCCAAAATGAAAATCTATAAAAGCAATGTAATATCAGTGTTGTAATATGGGGCAGAATGTTGGGAGATAAGCAAGAGATATGGAGACAAACTTAACACCTTTAACACCAGGAACTTGCGTAGAATCTTCAAGATATCTTGGCCAACACAGATCTGCTGCAAAGAGCCAACATGTGCATCATCACCAACACCATAAGACCAGGAGATGAAATTGGATAGGTCACATCCTGAGGATGGATCCATGGAATGATTGTCGAATCACCTTGACGTGGACACCACCAGGAAAGGGAAATGTAGGAAGACCAAAGTAAACTTGGAGACGAATGGTAGACAAAGAACAGAATTTGGATGGAGGACATGGGGAGAAGCACAACAGCAAGCAGCAGACAGGCTCAGATGGAAGGCTTCCATTTGCGCCCTATGCGACACATGGCGCTAACGGCAGTTGTAAGTTGTAAGTAATACTTATGAATCTTTCGAACGCTTTTGACTTTCTACCATGCATATGACATTCTTTTATGTGAGCTATCTGCCTATGGTCTATCTTCATAATCGGTTAAATTACTAAAATGTACTTTAAAATTATCTTACAGGTCGTAGGTAACAAATCAAACTTCAGGGAGTCCCCAGTAGTTTGGCTGACAACCAGGAAGGTGAACCCCAAGTCTCAATCCTGGGACCTTTATTATTAAGATTTTTTTATTAATGCTATATTTTATTGTTTTGACTAACATGGAGCCCTATATGACTATGCTGACGATGAAACTGTCATATGCTGATGAAAATGTATTATATAAAAATAAGAATATCTAGTTTGATTGTCAATTTGACAACTATCAACTAGATTTTAAATGATGTGGATATAAGCAATTATAGATCACCGTACGACCTTCAACACGGACAAAAACCCCTACAATATAGTCAGCTTCAAATGGCCCCGACATGAAAAAATATGACAAATTTCAATTTACGAAAAATAAATATAACTAGACATGAACCAACGACAACGACTAAATTACAGGCTCCTGACTTAGCACAGACACATACAGAATTACATGTTTTTGAGTGCTCAACCCTCTCCTAACCTGTCCCATTGGTTTTACAATACAAAATAAGAACAAAATGTTAAAATCAGTTACAATAGGCTTAATAAAAACAATAGATACAACCACCGACATACCGTAAAACGGGGTTTTTTTTCGCGTGTGTTTAAATTTCGCTTTGTTCGCGAAAATTTTACCCCGCGTAAATTTGCCTGCATATTCCAAGATTTATCGTCGTTTGAAAGTTTCGTACATTATACTGTTAATTTTCGAGTCTTTTGGGTTGTTCTACAGATCAGAAGAATGTGCATACTTTATTAATATCTCTGTTTTGATAATAATTAAATTGGCTGATTATACAAGTCACACCTTTTGAAAGCATAGCAATCAGTGGCCTTTTTAGCGACGATCTACTGATTAATGTCATAACCCAAACATTTTGCCTTTGATTTTAAAATATATCACATTTACAGGCCTTGATATTTGCATATCTGTAATGATCAAAACCTTCAATTTTTAGCATGCCCTAAAATACATTATTTACGTTCCTTGAAAGTTCTCTGAATTATTTATGTGTATTTTTGGTTGTAGTACTAATATTTATTTGTAATCGATTACTTGTTAGTCAATCAAGTTTATATTGTTTTTATCTGTAACGATACGATACAGTTCTTTTTTCGCATGTATTTTCCGATTCAGCGAAAATTAAACAAAGTGAAACTTTAACCTGCCCGTTGTGTCACTAAATCGCAAAAAAAAAGCCGACGCGAAAAAAACCCGATATATGGTATTAGAGTCTCGCAGTTACTGAATTCTAGTACAAAGCCAATTACAACTTATGAATAAATCATGTAAGTTTCAATCTAAAGTATCAACCAGTACACCTTCAACGGATTTAGTAAATATATCTCATAAACAGTCTCCGAAAGGCATGAGCGTGTGTAATGACAAAATACATTTAAGTAAAAAGAATAGACAGGATGTAGGGTCATAGGTACTCATAACTGTACATATATAGCAATATATATCTAGTTATGTTTTAATTTTTCAAAAACAAAATCAATGTTACCAACGATAAAAACAATGTTTAAAGATTTGACTACAGTGTTATATTGATGAGCCTTAAGAAAAAGTTTATTCGAAGGATTAATGAGTTTATGTGTACTTGAAAAGGAAATTTCAGTTTTAGTTGTTTTGTTTAAATCTAATAATATGCATGGAAATTCCGGTAAACAAAAATTCCACGCCATTGTAGTTGGAAGTATATATATCTTTATTCTCATCACCAAATACAAACAGTAAAACATTGAGAAGAAGCCTCTTTTAATATACAGTCAGCTAAAAGATCATGTGATGAGATTGCCAAAGTTTTAGCTGTTGATATTGATTATCAACTAAATTCAGTCACCATATTAAAAAAAATGTCTGTTGTAAAGCTTCTTAACAATTTTGTCCTTTAGCGTGGAATTTTTGCAACAAAATTAGTACTTCTTGATTAGAAAAAAATGAGGAACGGGCTTAACTATTTATTAACGAAGACTATGTCAGTACGTATGATAAACTACAGGTACGAGATAAAGTTCAATCACTGACAAATAGACGTATGCCTAGTATGGCCATTGGATGATTTGAGATTTTATATAGATTATTATCACTATGTCAAAATAACTTAGTTGTACTCAAAGATTGTAAATAAATAGTAGAAATCTAACGTTACAGATATACCTAGGGTTTGGAAATCAACTTATGATAAGAGCTATTATTAACATGCAGCTGATGTTTTATGGAATGATCTACCTAGTGGCGTTAGAAAATTGCTAAATAATAATTAAAAATATAGATGGGAATTGTATTTGACAGTAAGTGCACAGTTTGTGCAGCTAAATAATATATTGTTTGATAAATTTATATCAATTTAGATCTCTTTTAAGTTTTTGCTTTTTATCAGCTTTCTAAGCATGCTTATCTGCAATTCTTTTTATTTGGTTTTGATTTAATATCTAGCTTATTATGCTTATTTCTGCTTACTATTACCATGTTGAATTAAGACGCGTTTTGTTTTATTTTTTGCGTGTTTGTTGGTATTATTAAGCCTTGTATGTCGATTAAAAGCTCAGTAAGGCTTATGTCTTTTTTTTTTTGATTTTTAAACTTTGCCAACTGTAAAAAAATAAAGCATATTTATTCATTATATTATTACTTATATTATTTGAACACTTTTGTCACGTGACTTTAAATTTTTCTCTTTTTTTTTTCAATTACCTTTAGAAATAAGTAATCAGCTGCATGTTTCATACTTATCAATTTTTGATCGAGCTGTAGTAAGGAAACGTTATGTAAATTACATTAGTTTATTGATTATTTTCTTTCCTTACAAACAACAACTGTGATTGAACCATAACCAGTTCTACGCTCTATGGATTTTTAAATGACAAGGCAGTACAATATAATGGGACTATTTTTTCATGTGACAAATCATGTGAGCTTTAAATTGTAAACATGGCGAAACACTGGTTGTTGATATTAATTTGTTGCATAGGATTACAGTTTAGTTGTGCAAAATATACCCCTGATTGGGACTCATTAGATTCAAGGCCGTTACCAAAATGGTATGACGAAACCAAATTTGGAATTTTCATAACATGGGGAGTATTTTCCGTTCCAAGTTTCTCTTCTGAATGGTTTTGGCCTCACTGGAAATCGAAGCATCCAGCTCCAGATATAGTCAACTTTATGAAACATAATTACCGACCTGACTTCACCTATGCTGACTTTGCTGCAGATTTCACAGCAGAATTTTTTAATCCAGACGAATGGGCAGATATATTTAAAGCATCGGGAGCAGGGTAAGACGTAGTCTCATAATATGGGAGATACAGAAATATTATCGACTTAATTTACATGAAAAAACGCTATCAGTTTTATAATATGTGTGTATATATATATACTAAGATCCATTTATTACACCGGGTGATCTGTTTATTTGGCAATCGCCAATGGCAGTCAGCAGGGTTTAAGAACATTTGTTGTTCGACCTGTTAGTCAAATGCGTTTTGTTGAAATATACTTTTTCACTTTTTTGGTCTTTTTGAAAATGTTGTTTGTGCTGTATTTAGACCCCTCTAACAAGAAATTTGTTTTGCATACACACGTATTAAAAATTGCGGTTTTTATCCAACGCAATCATAGGTTTGAACGTTGTTTTCAATTTAGACTTGTATATATATATATATATATATAGAGAGAGAGAGAGAGACATTATTTGTCGAAATCCGGATATGGTGTACAAAAACCTTTGCACCTTTTGTTTGCGGTATATCATCTTTTCCGCAAGTTTATTGTTTTCTGTTTAGTATTAAATTTAAAATTAAGATCCATTTATTACAGCGGTGATCCGTTTATTTGGCAATCGCCAATGGCAGTCATCAGGGTTTAAGAACATTTGTTGTTCGACCTGTTAGTCAAATGCGTTTTGTTAAAATATACTTTTTCACTTTTTTGGTCTTTTTGAAAATGTTGTTTGTGCTGTATTTAGACCCCTCTAACAAGAAATTTGTTTTGCATGCACACGTATAAAAATTTCGGTTTTTATCCAACGCAATCATAGGTTTGAACGTTGTTTTCAATTTAGACTTGTGTATATATATATATTGTATGAATTAAGAACAGCTTAACAATTTACATGTAACCAGATAATACAAACTGTAATATGTGGTATGCAAGATTATCGACACATATATTTATACCCATATCGTGCACAAATCTTCAGTCAGTATAAAAAAAGGAGATATGGTCTGATTTTTTAAAATAAAAGAATTGAACATAAGTTATAAGCACCGCAAGAGTTGACTAGGGTATAGAAATATGGGCATTCCTGAACTTCTCCCGTTCTGGCAGTAAAACCCTTCCTTAAGTGGTGTGTTCGATTTTTTTATCTGCGGAATAAATAATAACGCATTCACATCCGTTCGGATTAGGACATTAAATCCGATTCCTCGTATAGAAAGAGTTTCACTTTAAGCATGTAAAAGAACACTTTCAACAACTCTATGAGAGGGCCATAGAATGCATGCTGTAAGTTAAAATTTATGTCCCCATCAATCAGACGATTTTCCGAATGGCGACCCCCTCCTTGCAGAAACTACCTACTGTATTAACTGTTAATTTGTTCTCGTCATAACCATGCAAGAAATATTTGCCACTGGACATTACGCAAACAACAACAATCAATCAATAAATTAATAATCATTTTTACACTAAAGCCATCGGAAGTGTACTGATTGATATTTAAGTCTGAGAAAACATCGTCTTTTAAGTTTAAATTTGGCTTTTAACTAGCTTTTAGTGACTGTGAGTTCTCTTAGATCGGTATTTTGTGTTATTTAATTGTCTTTTTGTAACTAGTATAAGAATAAGAAGATGTTGTATGATTGCCAATGAGACAACATTCCACCACAGATCAAATGACGTAGAAGTAAGAAACTATAGGTAACCGTACCGCTTTCAAAAACAGACAAAATAAAAACAACATAGCACACATGTGGAGCAGGATCTTCTTACCCTTCCGGAACACCTGAGATCACCCCCAGTTTTTGGTGGGGTTCGTGTTGCTCAGTCTTTAGTTTTCTATGTTGTATTTTGTGTACTATTGTTTTTCTGTTTGTCTTTTTCTTTTTTAGCCATGGCGTTGTCAGTTTATTTTTAACGTATGAGTTTGAATGTTCCTTTGGTATCTTTCGCCTCTCTTTTAAAAAGCCCCGACATGAAAAACCTAAAACTATTTAATCGAGAAAACTAATGTCCTCATTTATGTACAAAACAATAAACGAAAAACGAATACGATATATAGGACCAAACCACTTAATTACAGCGTCCTGACTTAATAGATATAGGAAGATGTGGTATGAGTGCCAGTGAGACAACTCTCCATCCAAGTTACAATATATAAAAGTAAACCATTATCGGTCAAGGTACGGCCTTCAACACGAAGCATTGGCTCACACCGAACAGCAAGCTATAAAGGGCCCCAAAAAATTACTAGTGTAAAACCATTCAAACGAAAAAACCAACGGTCTAATCTATATAAAAACGAGAAACACGTATGAACTACATAAACAGACGACAACTACTGTAATCAGATTCCTGACTTAGGTCAGGTGCAAACATTTGCAGCGGGATTAAACGTTTTAATGGTACCAAACCTTCTCCCTTTTCTGAAACAATAGTATAACATCACAACATAGAAACACACACTATAAAAATTAAGAGTCACATAAAGATTGTGGCAGGCTTAAAAATATCTGCTGGCGCCTAAACATCCCCTTACCTCGAACAATGGTGTAACAGCAAATCATAAGAAAAAACTACTAAAATCAGTTGAAAAAGGTTTGACTCATCAGACTTACAAAAAGACTTAGAATCATGTGCAAAACAGTGTAGCCGAGACCATTGATTGGCGCGCTAAAATATCCCATTGACTGGGTCAGATTAGGTGAACGTTCGTCTGTAACGCCCACAACTCACGACGTATTTATTATAGACATTTAAACTGTGGGGTCACCAAAGGGTCTCAAAGCCTAAATAAAATAATTCGAAAAACTAATCAGGAATAGCCTTTGTGTTTTGATTTAGTATTGAATACTTAAACGTTCTTTACTTGTGTTTTTGTTATGTTTTGATAATGAATTTTTATGATATCGGACGTTCTTTCAGCAAAAAAGGATTTAACTGGCTTTAAAAGTTACAATGGATGTGTTGATTATTATATTTTTTTCGGACGTCAAAGCGATTTAACAATTGCGGTTGTTCAATTATGTCAACTTTTAACTTTAACTGGTCAAAATTTTATTTTAGAACGAATGCATGATCAACTTTAAAAAGTGTGCAAACACAAAACATATAGACAAAATATACTTCTTTCCTTTCTTTTTCGTACTTGCAAGTTATTAGACAGTAAAAAGGCTATTTCGAAAATTTGAAATTTGCATTTACGTTTTTGAATATGTACAGTCAAGTTTAGCGATTGATAATTCATTGATAACATTCTGGCGTATCACAAACAAACAACTTGTGACGTCTCATTTCATTGGCCGAAAGATTTAAGTACAACAACAATTGTAGTGTGCACGTGAATTGACACAGGTGACCGACAATGGAATGTACTCATTACTACGAACGTAAAAAACAATGATATTTGGTCCAAATAATTATATAAGTATTTTGTGAATTTCAAATAGTGGGGTCGAAATATTATACTAATAATTTGTGTTAAGTAATATTCTTTATGCATGCAGCACTTGTACCGCACTATGAAAAATATAAGGATAAAATAAAATACATGTGCCGCTTTTATACGGATGCATGTATGAACCACTTTAATTTCTTTCATATGACGCTAGGTTATTATCCTGACAATGTCGTAATTACTTATAATAAGGATCTCATAATACTGATCCATTTCAAATTTATGATGGGTTGCACATTCCTCTTTTATTGTTTTCATGCTATAAAACGAAAATAAAGTAGCTAAGCGTTTGGTCATTCAGAAATGACGTGTCATAAACGAGCAAATTGTCCCCGAAAGATCGTATCATGTGTGCACGTGAATATAGATGTACTATGCAATGTACTATCATGGTCACCACGAAATTCAAATGAATTCAGTGAAGGCATGTTGGTGTAAAAAGGTTTGAAATGTTTCATCGGCGAAGATTTTATTTTTGCATGTGTCGAACTAAAAAATAAATAAATACTTGTGAAAAAATGTCGTAGTTTATAAGGAACTATATAAATGTACTGTTTTCGATTGTAATTGGTTGAAAATTTATCCTTTAATTTCATACCGTAAGAATAGAGCTTTGCATAACATTGTTGAACTATCCGCCAAAGTAACGTGTGCCATGCGTGCGTATTAAAATGAAATACAAAATCATACATGTATGATAAACTTATAAACGAAATATTAAGAAATTAAGGATGACTACTGTAAAAGTATGTACAAAAATGGAGTCACCTTTTATCAATACATTTAGTGAATAACCACACTGTTTAAAACTGATTGTTTTCTATGCAAATATTTAAATATTTACAATATATAATTTTCAACCGAGGACAGCAAAACAGTTAATCATAAATTAAGAAAGTATATCGCTGGAGTTTATAAAGTACATTTCCTTCCACTGTGCCATGGTTTGCCATCTCCATTTTTTCTCTAAACAAAGCATGGCTGGTTACATGTTCTGAATTTACTTAGAATTTCGGGATTTTTTTTTCAAAATTAAGTAAACTAAATCAGAAAAAAATCACACTATCCTAAAACTTATGAAAGAATATGAATAATGAACATGACAGTTTATAACACAAACCCATTTACTATAAAAATCGAGCAATATCTTTAGTATGTAATTTGGTTATTTTTGTAGTTAAGTACGGTTTCATTTCAAGTACAACGTTAATTCATCAAGTCCATTGAATAAAAGATAAGGCAGGGTGAGCAACTTGACAAAAATAAAAGGCAGGGTGACGATTTATGTAAAAAAATCAGGATAAACTAATAAATATAGTCAGGACCTAACAGACTGAAAAATAGAAAGACAGGACAGAGATAACAAAAAAAAAAATGCAGGACAAAATGTTTCATCCAAGTCCCCCACCCCCAATCAAAATAAAATGGTAGCTCCCTTAATCCAGAACCAATTGAGAGGAGACAGTTGAATTAAATATTTCGACGTGACTGTTAAGATTAAAGTTTAAAATTTTACATGCACATGCATAAAAGCTAGAATTGCCATGGGATAATCAAGAACACAATCATGTACGTGAATACGACGATGGAAGTTTTTACCGACCTTGACCGGCTACGTGAATACTGATCAGTCCATTCAGCTTTATAGTACGCGTGTTCTATTTTCGCAGGTGTGAGGTTGAAGGTTTGAAATGACCAATGAAAACGATCGTTCCTTAACGAGTTAATCTAATAAAGTTTGTTTGACTGATTATGTTGCACGACCTTTCGCTAAGCTTGGCCGCAGTTCAGTATACAATGTATAGTTTGATGATCTTTTCTGCTAACTACTATACTTGTGAAAAACCCTTGGCAACAGAAACATATTCAGTTTTTTTTAAATTGACCCAATTTACATAGTAATGGACGACTTCGTACATTTTATGATCGCAAATAAAATATGTATATATTATACTGTGCACTGTAGTTCGTATATATACTGAGACCCTTTGGCAACCCCACAGTTTAAATGTTTATAATAAATACGTCGTGAGTTGTGGGCGTTACAGACGAACGTTCACCTAATCTGACCCAGTCAATGGGATATTTTAGCACGCCAATCAATGGTCTCGGCTACACTGTTTTGCACATGATTCTAAGATACAAAGCTGCTCGCTAGTTCAAACCCAACAACTAATAAACAAAATATCATGTATCGAAAAAGAAAATATCAATCAGTACACATCCAATAGATTTAGTGTAAAGACGTCATAAACAGTCAGGAAAAACATGATCTTGTGCAATGCCAAAATAAAAGTATCGATAGAATGTAACACTTTAAATCTTCATTGTTGTATAGCAATACTATTTACGTTTTAATTTATTGATAACGAAATCAATGTTTATACCGATAACAAATTGTTCAAATATCTTATGACAGTATTGAATTGATAATCTTTGACAATACTTATTTTTGAACCGATCTGATGAGCCAGGCAATTCACATCTGATTTTAACAGTTGGTTCTTAAGTTGGGCTGCTTACAAACATGTCAACCTTGACATGTGTCTTCTGTAATTGTACCAATTCAGGAGCCTGTAGTCGTTGGTTACCGTCTGTCATAATAGTTTTCATTAATATTTTCAGCTTAAACCTGGCCATTTGTTCTTCTCGGTTTTAATGTTTCTGCTTTTGTAAACCGGATAAATAGGTGTTTACATCCTTGTTATTTTGATCTATTGTGGATATTTGTCCGTTTGCAATCACATCACATCACATCTACAAATTTTCTTGTTATTTAAAATTTTCAGATATGTTGTTTTTACAACTAAACATGGTGGAGGATTCCCAAATTGGCCATCAACTCATTCTTTTAATTGGAATGCAAAAGCAGTAGGACCGAATAGAGACATTGTTGGTGGGTTAAAACTGATGCATAACCGGAAAACATGTCTATAATTCTAAGTTTGTATATCCTACATGTAGTAACTTCACCTTACTGTAATCCGGTTTGAATAGCCTGAGTCAAGAATAACTTTGATCGAGGGCAATTACAATTATACCAAAAGCAAGTAAGCCGAGATGTTTTCCCTACACTGTTTTCAATACAAATTAAGTCATTTTGGTTAAAGGTGTCCTTTGATGCAAAAAATTTACAAAATGCACATTTGGAATTTTGTATACAAATTGTCTTAAAAAGCAATACATAGCGCTGAATCACATTTAGATTTAATGGGAATGTGTAAAATTGTTGATGCTTCAGGAATATTATATAGACTCTTTAATATTAAAACTCCATTAGCTTTAACAACTTTCTGATTTTGGTCACAGGAGAAATTGGCCCGAACTATTCACAGAGACTAATAATCCAAAGTTATCCTAGGTTACTACTAGGATAAGAATCCGATTTTGTATTGTCTTTAGTTATTTCTTTATGTTTTTTTCTATTTGGGAAATTGGTGTCGATGGGTGATCTCTGATAATACAACATTTTACCGGCTATCGGTACTGTAGGTGATATCTGATAGCACAACCTATTACCTACCGGCTATCAGTACTATTAGATGGGTGATCTCTGATAGCACAACCTATTACCGGCTATCGGTACTGTAGATGGGTGATCTCTGATAGCACAACCTATTACCGGCTATCGGTACTGTAGATGGGTGATCTCTGATAGCACAACCTATTACCGGCTATCCGTACTGTAGATGATCTCTGATAGCACAACCTATTACCAGCTATCGGTACTGCAGATCGATAGGAAACACAGATCAAAATCTGCTGTACAAGATTCCAAAAATCTTTTGCATTACAATAGCAATCAGAACAGCAGGAAAAAACCTTGCTGTACACGATAACAACATCTCTTGTTTTAATGGCCATCAGAATCACAGATCCTATTGTTTCGGTCGTAGGGATAGAGTTTGGATAGTGTCGTTACAATTCACTCAACACCTTTTCTAAACTGGCCGAGGTAGAAATTGACATATTTGATATATTTATTTCTATATGTCTTTTGAAAATTTATGTATTTATTCTAGCGCTAAAGATATAAAGTATAACGCTGACAACAGGCGATCTTTTAAAGACTATACTTGCTATTTTCAGGCGATTTGGCTGAAGCGATACGAAACAGAACGGATATAAAGTTTGGAACATACTACTGTCTTTCAGAATGGTTTAATCCACTTTATCTCAAAGATAAGGAATCGAATTTCACAACTCAGAATTTCGTAAAGGTATGTTCCAGTATTGTTTGCGGATACAAGATTGATGTTTTATACAATAAGCGTTTATGAAGTGCATACAAAGTAGGTACATATTCCCATAAGTAAGATATAGCATTTATCTTGGTTGCTAAGCCAATCAATGTTGCATTTCAACCAGCAAACTCTCCATCAAAATACAGTCTGAAATATTGGTATCATAATAATGCTTCCATATTGGCCTGACAGTTGTTTTTGTACCTTATTACAGAGCATACAATTTCGATTTTTTTTTTCAATTAGATTATGAAAAGCCACTCTGTGTTAATTTAAATCAATATCAATCTTTTTGTTTTATTTTATAAAACTAATCGTTATATCAAGCCAATCTTTCATGTTTTTTTAGACAAAAGCCATGCCGGACCTTTATGAACTAGTAAGTAAATATAAGCCAGAAATTGTATGGGCAGATATGGTGGATGATTTAGGACCGGCCTCATACTGGACTTCAAAAGAATTTCTTGCTTGGTTGTTCAATGAAAGGTAATTGTTTATTCTTTACTTCTCATTGGTATTTATGAAATATTTTTACAACACTAATTTTCTGCTGACAATTCATTCTTCTGCTTCACCTTCTTTAACCTTGGCTATGCAGATTAATCAGATTATATAGCTCCTAACGTATTTATACATCCCTATCTTCTCAACGCGCGTATGGCGTACAAAATTTCAATCCTGGTATCTATGATGAGTATTATTTTCTTCAAATGTTTGGGTTTCTGAGTTCCTGATGAAGGTAAAGAGTTCCTAGTGAAGGTAAACCCAGAAAAGCGCTTCGGACGCACACAATCTATATAGTGTTACTTCCATTGTTACATAATGGATACCGTAGAAACAGATATGTTGTCTTAAGGAAGGTATGAATTATACTTTATAAACAAAAACCAACACACTATGATTCAAACAACAAATTCTCTGAAACTGACATTACCAAGATGCATGATATTTTATTGACAACATATTTGTGACGTTTGAGATATCTGTTTTTAACAAAAAAAATTTTGGAAGAGAAATTTGGACACATGGCTGTGACACTTTTCTCTAACGATGAAGTTTCTGTATATTAGATACAAAAATGTCTCAAAGCACATAAATGTCAGCACAAACATTTACACCATTAGCGAATTTACTTATTCAGTTGATATTAAAAAAAGAGACGTGTTTTCGAACGATAAACTGGTGAAGCCCTGTCGTGTCTGTACCAAGTCAGACTATCTGGGTCAAATGTTGTTATTTGTTGGATTGTACTAAAAAAAACATTCCAGAGGAATGGACTCAGGTTGTGGTGGTTGGTGATTGTCTTTTTGGGATACCTGTTATCTATTTTCTACTTATTAACTTACAGTCCAGTAAAGGACACTGTTGTTACAAATGACCGATTTGGCCAAGATTGTAAATGCAAGCATGGTAGCTACAAAACCTGTACAGATAGATTCAATCCAGGTTAGTGTACATACAGGGGGGAGGGTATGAAAATTAAACGAAAGGAAATGAAATTTGAAATGCAATAGCATTTTTGAACACCAACAGCAATAGTGATATTGAAGAATAAAAAACGTTTGAAAGGTTGTGTAAACATCGTAAGGAAAATCTCGAAATTGAAAACCGCATTCTTTATATCAAATTGACAAGAACCAATATTTGATACACATAAAAGAATTGAAATAAATATGTAATCGGAGTACGGGAGGCTGTCGACCTTCTAAATGAAATTTTAAATTATAAAAAAAATGATAATAATTCCTCACATTCACTCTCCGTAAGTAACAAAACATCATAAGAATACAAACCCGATGACATTCATTTAAGGAATGACTGTAATGTTTATTCTGTCTATGAAGAAATAACATAAAAAATGTGGTGCACACTGAATAACCAGGGTAGCGGGTTATTTTAAAGTGTGCACCACATTTTTTGTGTTATTTCGAATAGACAGTTAAAATATTACAGTCATTCCGTATAATTTAATTCTAAATTCCATTTTAAACCGGAGTAAATCATGAAAAAACGTTGACACGTCACGGTCACATGACTAAATTATGTCTATGAGCTGATAAACAAAACACCGTCAGCCAATCAGAAGACGCGTTACATCCAAAATTAAATTATTAGTTAATTCACAGAACACGTCGTAATTAGTATGACAAGTAAATCAAAAGTATGAGAGGTCTAGAGGCCAAGAAAATAAAATTCTTCGACATCAACATTTATTTATTTAAAAATTCTTTGATATAACAACTAGGAAACTGACAGGAAGTAAACAATAAAAACCTTTAATTCCAGTTTCATGCAAATTAAACTAAAATCAGATGACTCCTTTCAGACGGGCTTGTTCTCTACGGTTTTTAAGCAAACATGACCATTACATAGTTGTTGAGAAACTGACACAGGCAACCCAAAGGCAAGGCGATTCAGAACTTGAAATATTGTATAAACACTTCGTCGATTGTTGAGCACAAAATGTTGATCTCTAGATATAGTTTGAGTTTTTGTGTTGTTTGGTTGTTATCTCATTGATTGACGTATTATACACATTTCTTTTATTCAGACCAAAAACTTGACTGTAATAACATTAACGGTACCAATAATTCTGCACCAGTAGCGCATTTCGACAATAAACGTCTCTTCAGTGATGCTCGAGGCCAAAATATTTGAAAATTCATAACTTTAAAAAAGAGTTTCTATACCAAAAGTAATGTGGTCAATGTAATGTAAGACATACGTTAAATTTATTTGCGTGGCAATATATGGTACACAAAGATAATGTATATGTTAAACTAACTAAATTCTCTAACTTATAATATTAGGATGAAACTGGTGTTATGACGAAAAGTTTACTTTATTCATTTAACCATTATATTCAGGTCAAGCAAGATCGTGTGACCCTTATACGACGGCAGGTAATCACCCTAAAGAAAATGAAAGAGAATCATTTGATACAAGATCCACATTATCAATTTAACATTTGCGGGTATTATAAAAAAAATCAAAAGATTTATAATGATATATCTAAATGGGTGGCGGAAGAAACCAAACGTTAGTGTTTTCGGACTTGTTCGTCTTTTTGTTCTTCTTTAGTGTGTTTTCATGGGGATTTGAATGTCCCCTTGGTATCCTCTGCCTCTTTGTTTGTACATTTGTAATTTCTCGTATGGTTATTCTCTCGATTCTTAAATCTTTATGTTACATTGCTGCTTTAATTTTAAAGAATTCCTAGCCTGATGCAAATGGCTTATCTAGACAATGGGTTATTGCTTTTCTTATATTCTGTCTAGTTTTGGAGATTCTGCTATTTATATGAAAATATGGAGATGTGGTATGCTTGCCAAATAGACAACTATCCACAATTCAAAAGAAGTGGATATAAGCAATTATAGGCCATCGTACGGTCTTCAACAATGAGAAAAACCCATGCCGTATAGTCGGCTATAAAAAGGTACCGACATGACCATACTTGTTACCTGTTTTCTATAACTGATCTTACGAGACATTTAATATAAGTTGTTGCAATTTCTGTGTTTCGATCTTACTAATTAGATATCAATAGATATAAATAACTAAATATAGAGCACCGTATACCAATTCAATGATTCCGGTCATTTTTAAATGCTCTTATTCAACTTTCAGGTGTATTACAGAAATTCAAATGGGAAAATTGTATGACAATAGACAGAGACTCCTGGGGATATCGCAGAAATTCTAACCTCGAAGCTTATCTGAGTGTTCATGATATCATTTCAACTTTTGCATCCACAATCAGGCAAGTAAAATATCCCCATGGTCAGGTTGTAAGCAATAGTTAACTTGTGAAAATTAAATGTTTGCTTTTGATTAAAGATGCATTCATTTACTACTTATCTGGACTACGATCACCATTAACTATTTTTTAGCGGTTCCAACGAATGTAGTCTATGGACCAGAAAGTTTGTAACAAATGAAAACCAAAGAAACATAAGGCTCACATATGTTGACATAGACGGGCAATTATGAAAGTGCTGCTTAGATAAAATACAAGGTCTTAAATCGCATTTTTAAAAAGGTTTTTAACATCTTACCCTAAATAAGCAAACATTTAAAGACAACGACACTCATAGAGAATGCTTGTGGCTGTAGAAAAACACACTGACATGTTTGAGAATACATATATATATATATATATAGTCAGGTTCTCATCTTTTTTTAATCAATTTTTTTATCAGCGGTATCCGCTTTATGGAATAATACTTCAATTAGAAGTCCTCATAATTGTGATATTTGAATTTAGTAAAAGTTTTTACCAATTTATGATTGGATATACTGTAAAATGCAAAAGTTTTTGGCAAGATTAATATTTCTTTTAGCAAAACCTTGAACCTCACACTAAAGTACATGCATTAACTTACTTTCGATATAATCAATATTGATAAAGTGATCAGTGCTCTTTTCCGCTCTTAGATATTAGAGCTTCCCACAATTGATGAATGTAGGATTAGAGCGAGTGACTTTTCCTTTCCAATTATTTGTTTTTGGTTTCTTGATGGTAATGTTGCATTTCTTCATTTTTATATATATCTACTTTTCATTTGGTACGATATGCTTGTTTGGCAGTAGCGTTCAGATTTCAATTATCATTATATTATCTTTACTGAATGTATTAAGGGTGGATTTATCATTGACGTTTACAACATATCTCCTTCTATTTATGTTTGCTCGCGGACTTCAATGAGAAATTTAAACACCAAAGATGGGAACAAATAGAACATCATCATTACCATCAAGGAATAGAAAGGGATATGGTGGAGCTTTATTGAAATTGCAATTGTTTTACGAAAAAGTCTGTCATGTTACCGCATTCGACTTTTGTTATCCGCACCTTATATCTCATGAAAAAGTCTGTCATGTTACCGCATTCGACTGTTGTTATCCGCACCTTATATCTCATGAAAAAGTCTGTCATGTTACCGCATTCGACTGTTGTTATCATCACCTTATATCTCATGAAAAAGTCTGTCATTTTACTGCATCGACTGTTGTTATCCGCACCTTATATCTCACGAAAAAGTCTGTCATGTTACCGCATTCGACTGTTGTTATCCGCACCTTATATCTCATGAAAAAGTCTGTCATGTTTTACCGCATTCGACTGACCTTATATCTCATGAAAAAGTAGACCCGTCATGTTACCGCATTCGACTGTTGTTATCCTTACCTTATATTTCGTTATGTTGTAATGATATTTAGGCAGTAATTTTTCAATTAAAAAAAAACTTCTTGCCTTTTATGATAGTTGTGGTGGTAACATGCTAATGAATGTAGGGCCAACAAAAGACGGGAAAATCATGCCAATATTTGAAGAAAGACTCCGTCAGTTTGGCAAATGGTTGAAGGTCAATGGAGAGGGAGTTTATAGTACGGTTCCATGGAGTCACCAGAATGATACAGTTACCCGAAATACATGGTATGAGTATTATGAAATTGCATTACATGTATATAAAAGTGAAAAACAAATACAAAAAACAAATAAAAGAATTGAACCGAAATTTTAATCCATTAACACATGTTGACATGTTGGCCAGACATAATTATGTCACAGTACTACGAGGGTTATAAAGGGGTGTCATCCCGAATTCCCGGAAAAATTATAAAAGAAGAATATCGAATTCCCGGAAAAAATACGCTGAATCCCGAATTCCCGAAAAAATAAAGCATTCTTTCCCGGATCCAGAAAAAATAATTTCTAAGTCCCGACCCCGATAAGGGTAAAATCCCGAAAAAAAAATAAAGGCCAAATCCCGACTTCCGTAGAAGGTCCTTCCGCCCCCTACTATGGTTTATGTCTTCGTCTGTCTTTCCTTTATAAGTTAAATATAATTATACTGGTTTGTTCCTACTTTGCTGAGACCCAAATGATTGTTGAAATTAAATAATGGTAAAGAAAACCAGCCGAATAAAAGCAATCGCATGGTAAAGTAGTATAAAAATAAATGAGTAAATCTCTTGGCTCTCTGCATGAATAAAACACTTGATCTTTAATTGAATGAATCTCTTAAATCCCTTAAGTCTATGTTGCTTTTACAGGTATACAAAACGAAAAATGGAGAGTGAGGGAACTGTGGTCTATGCATTTCTTCTTTCTTGGCCAACAGACGCAGTTTTGAAATTAGGAGCACCGATCCCATCACAACAAACAGAAGTCAGCTTGCTCGGTTACCCAAACAAATTTATTTGGAAATCTGGTCCAGGAGGCCAAGGAATTAATATCACTGTACCAATTATACCATGGAACAAACTACCATGCGAATGGGCATGGGTACTTAAACTAACACATATATCAAATTAGACTTAAACTTTATTTCATCATTGGTTTAAATATGTGTAATCAAATCAATGTTCTCGTGTCACAAATAACAGATTTCATCAGTGTATGAAACAAGTCATTAAATCATGACTTTGTTTTCAATAGTGCATCATAAAACTCTTCATAAAACACCAAAATATATGAAAAAAATACATTATAACTATCTTTTTCGATTGAAGGGTAAAATGGATAACAGATTTTCTTTTCAAACTATGTTTTTTTTTATATGACTTTTACAATAAGTGACAGTTTGAAAACTGCAATGTACATTCCAGAACACTTATTTGTTGATAATTGTTTCTGCATAGCACTTATTTTGAGTTATTGTCCTGACGATATTTATTCCATTTATTCTTATTCATGTACTATGCATATATGTTAACATTACAATAAGAATTGGTCAGTAGCGAAAAACAGGCGGAGGATACCAAATGGAAAATAATAAATTGTATTGGAATAATTTTATTTTCAATATTATAATATCTTAATTAAATGACGCCTGATAAGACACATGCCATGGTTATGTTTTTCACTAAGTATTTGGTATATTCTGATTTTGAACAGATGATTATTTGATCACCGTAAATGAATCTGAGCGTGTGATTTCAAACTAGAAAAGGTGTTATTTTCAATTTATCTTTGATTAATGAATTGAGTCTCGATATTTACATCTTTTTATATAGAACCGTCCATGTAAATTTTATCTATGTTATTAGCGATTAAATATTTGTCTGTACATGTATATGGTTGTTATATATTGTCCAAATGTATTCATAGCCAGAAATTAGTAGTACTTTTGCTAATTAATATTCACAATATGTAAATGAGAATTGTACCACGTGATAATAGTTTGAACTGAACTGGCTTGATATCATTAAAATCTTTAAAACACGGATATTATAAGTTGCCCGTCACAGAGTCCTTGTTTATAATCACTCTGATATTTCCGTAAAGTTGTCAGGCGGTCAAAATCAAAACAATCAACGCGAATTTAGTGAATTTTTCGTGTTTTCGTGAGTTTATTCTTCTTGAAATAGAGGCATTTTAACTTTATGTGGGAACCTAGAGTTCAACGACTACACATACAAGGTTTGGACTTGCTTATTCTTTGGATATTCAAGTTTCAAGTTTCACCCCGGCAACCTGTATTTCTAATGACCTTGTTAGCCAATTTTCAACACGAAGTTTGCAAATTTGACGTTTCAGCCATTTTAGCCTGTATTTTATACTGCAATGTTAAAAGCCTCTCGCTTCGATTTTTAAAATAGCTCAGGAACCTTGATTTTTGCAACGCCAGTCATTATATTTCGTTTAAATGGTGTATACATGTATTGTTGTGTGTATTCATTTTCTGCCCCGGCAACCTGTCTATCACTTAATTCAAAGTTAAAACAGACATTTTTTCTAAATTCCCTATCATTTCAATATAGTTTCCGTGACCCGTATCCGACTTCTTTAGTATAATATTCAAATAAGCAAAGTGGCGTTGATTTCTGGATATGTTATATCTAATTTAGTATAAAAGGTAAATACTTTTTTAAGCTTGTAACAATTCTTCTACGGTTACTATAATCAGTTCATTATTTAAATCCGAAGAGTTAATTTTTCTTGTATTTCTCGTCTTCAATAAAAGAAGGAATTATTGTTTTACTGTTTGTGAGTGAAATCGTCCGTCCTGGCCCGTATCAGAAAGTTTTGGTTTATATAGGTTTAAAATAGTAAACGGCCATAATATGTTGTAGTAACTGTCACGTTAACTTTAAGGTAGATGGGGTGTCTAAATTATAATCCATAGAATTTTTTAATAATTTGCCAAAATGAAGTTTATATCATGCTTTTTTGGAAAAAATAATAAAAAGAATGGGTCACGGGGCTTATTTTCACGCTACAGGTTGTGCAAAATTGACAGATTTTGTATAGATTATGCATGGAAAATGCAATTTTCTGCCATAAAACGAAAACTGCACCATAGAATTTTGAGATAAAACATGAGAAGATAGCTCTAATATTATACTTTCAGATAAGAAAAAGAAAAAATGGGGTCACCGGGCCCGTTTTCTTGCTACATAATAAAATAGATAAATTCCTAACACATTCTATTGTAAAAGTAACAATATTTGAATTATCTGCCCTTACATTTGAGTTGCCTCCCCTTATGTGGCAAAGTTAGAAAAAATCGAATCAAACAAAAGTATTCTGTTTTCTGTAAAATACAACCATAAATATAATTAAACATGTCATTTTCTATATTAAAATGTAAATTCTTACACATGAATTACCCACTACTCTCAAAATTTGCACATTTTATTAAAGGTCTAGACCGATTATTTTCTGGTATTTCAAAATCCAAGATGGAGGAAGACACCCTATCTACCTTAAACTTGTATAGAACACAACTTTATTATGATGTGAGCATCGTATAGAAATCGACCTTATGCAATGAATATCAATACTTATCCCCGGCTTAGTATATTTCTAGGATTTTGATTGGTTAACGCACGTCGTTACAAAACCCATAGCCCCTGGGTGTTGCTAACCCATATACCCTGACGTTGCTACCCATTACGACGGGGAACATCACGCGCGTTTTCTTTAGTTCCATGGTTGTTCCTCGTGAAATATCGAATTCTGTAGATTATCCATGATGTCTGTAATTTAATATTTAATCAACTAACGATTTTATCTTATCATGTCGCGATCATTTGCACTCATTTTAGTAAATGCATCACTTGGCTGCCACATTGTCAATGAATGGGACTACTGACCTAGCTATGCAAATGACCCACGTTGACGTCACACCGTCTATGATGTAACTCTCACAACATTGAGCGCCAAATTCGACCGATTCCCGTTTCTCTGTCTCTGGATTAAAAACGTCTTATATTTGACTACCTGTAGGGTTCTACCAAAGGTAGTACCCTACACCCCGTTAAAAATATGTCAAATTGCTAAATTTCAATAAAAGATTTAAAAAAATGAAAAAAACGTTGCTTTCACGTTACATTTTGTGGTTGAATTTCTCTAAAAATCGCAAGATTTGGACTAAGACCGGGGATAAATTCGTTATCTACGTTCATATCCGTAGATATGGATATGAACGTAGATAACTTATAATCTGTTAACCTTTTTCGGGTTGCAAAATTCTCTATGAAAAGTCTGTAACTGTTTGAAAACTGAGCTGTTTGAAAAAATCTACAAACAGACCAAACTTCATCTTTTATTTCGTATTATAATGTTCCAAAAATCAATCAAAGTCTTATACATGTACATGTATTCGTGCACTTGCATAAGGTCGATTTCTATCCGATGCAGACCATATGATGTTTTTAATTCATATCCAAAATTATGGTTTTTACCCAGATTTCACCCGCGGCGTTCACTGGATATAAAATTGTGACATTTCGAGCGTGATATGGTGTCCTATTGACATATATTCTTGAAATATATTCATCATGCTAGTATGACACGGCTGTCATTCGGTATATCGAGAAAAATGATCGTGAAAGAATAATTAACGGTGGTTAAGCATTGCGATCTGATCGTGAAAAATCCGGTAACGGATCGTGAAAGCAATTAAGTAAATACAATTCAACTACAAAATCTGTGAAAATATCCGTTGTATAAAAAGTTAAAATAACAAAAATACCGAACTCCAAGGAAAATTCAAAACGAAAAGTCCCTTATCAAATGGCAAAATCAAAAGCTCAAACACATCAAACAAATGGAAAACAACTGGCATATTCCTGACTTGGCACAGGCATTTCTTTATGTAGAAAATAGTTGATTAAACAGGCGGAAAAAAATCAGAAAAAAAGAATCATGTCTATCAAAATGGTCTCAACTTCCTTAATAGAACTGCGCAATAAGGTATAGAAAAAATGCAGTACTTTTTAAGAAAACACAAAAGGCGACACATAATTCATTATGCGAATCATTAAAGAAACAACACGTTTTCGACCTACAATGGTCACATTCCAATTAATCTTGATATATTTGAAACTAAAGCTTTTGTTCATCAAAGACAGTACGGTAAAATTGAAGTGATGTTTTCCTTGAAAAGGTAAATACAATTTTTTAAAGGAAGGATTTTGCTGATTTTTAATCAAATTGATCGTGAAAGATCAGGCAACGCTTTACTTTGATAGTGAAAACAATGTGTAACTAGACAAGACTGTATAGGTTTTGCTCATCGTCGAAGGCCGCCTGGCGACCTATAAATGATTACGTCTCTGGTGAATAATTGTTTCATTGGTAATCGTACCACATCTTATTTTTTATATATATATCATCAGAAAATTATTTTTTTTTTACCATTGATGTACTTAAATTGATTGAAGCGTGTGATATCTTAACAAGAACGTATTTTTTGGAGTGCAATTGACCACCACCTCAAAACTTGAAAAAAAACTCAATTATAAAAAAATACTTATTTACTTTTACGACATTTATATATACTAGTGGTACTTCTATAGTCACTCACATAGGAAAAATAAAACACATTTATGTTAAAAGTATAGCACTTTCTGTTCATTTCTTATGACAAAACATTTTCTTTTATATATAACCACATATTAAGACCTGTTTTCACTTAAGATTCAAACATAACTTGACATCCAAGATGATAAGGCCACCAGGAGTCGAACTTGTCAAAACTAAGTATTGTTTGTATGAATTTGCGAATGTGCGAAGCGATAAGTGGTCTTGAGAGTCTTCCCTGGGAACACAATGAATATGTGCGTAGTGATATAATGGTTAGTATAATAGGTGGTGAAAATGCTAACGTACGGTCCTCGAGTGTGGTGGGATCGATTTTCTAGCTTGGTCTTTAAATTTATCAATTGTGATCTATTTTCGATCGTAACAAGTATGGATTCGCTTGCCTGGTGATACATGCACAGTTTTGCTGTGCGTGTACTGATTTTATGTCGTGGATAGATACCCCATATCCTTTGTTTTTCTATTATAACAGAAGATCTTCAAAACATTTTTTTTTCAATCTAAAGGGATAGGCAATTCATTTACGTTAAGCACGCATCACTAGTAATAACAGCTAAGACTGTTTGACTCTTAGTCAAAATCATTTATTATACTTCATGTCAAAATACCAGATTTTGATTGGTTAATACGAGGGAGACAATTTACTCTATCCCATGGCAAATACTCTATTACCCTTCACGGAGACGCTTGCTCAAGTGTGCGCTTTAATAAATACGGATGATTGTTATGTACAAGACGACATAGTTTATTACTTTGAATTTGAAATTTAATAGACAGTAATAACAGAACATTCAGTATAATAAATTAAATAACACATGTCTGAGAGGGTGATAGAGCAGATTGTTACCCCTCGAAAAGACATTAATTGTCAACCTTTGCTTCGCCTCAGTTGACAATGTTTTCTCGGGGTAACAATCTGCTCTATCACCCTCTCAGATATGTGTTATTTATATAATGTCCTGATGTAGGGATCCTGCGAACTTTAATGCCTTTTGTCAGCTAGAATGCAAATAGTTTAGCTCGGCGTAACTTATACAATAAAGGCAGTAATTTCTTTTAATCGTATCATTCATTGTTTCCACCACCGGTATTTAGACGTTGCGTAGGTAGCCTTGAAACGTTTTAAACACAACAAATTTAAACCAGGAATTACTAGTATTTCGGGATATTTTCTATTTATATAATTTTTTCTATTAAAATGTTCATACATTTTGACGGTCATTCCGAGAATGGCAGACAACGCATTAATTTTAACACATGGAATCAATTCAGAATGGCATATAAATTCTATCAGAAAAAGATGTTTCTCATATTTTATTTTGAAAGCTCGGTTTTTACCGAAATTTAGACAACGTTTATCAATTAAAAATAGCATAAATTACACTTACTTTAATTTTGATCCAGTCCTAGAACAGAAAGAGTTTCTTAAAATTTGTGACTTAAATAAAAAAAAAATTACAACTATTTTTAATCGAATATTTGACTCTGCATGGGAATCTGAAATTCCATAATATACCTCAACATAATTGTTGAATTCATAACATTGTTTAAATTTAAAACATTACATTGTTGAAATCCTAGCACATAAAGATGACATTCATAATTTGTTAATTTTTAAAGAAAATCATAGTTTTTACTACATTTCCCCCAAATTTTCACATGTCGCAGATGGCACAACGGACTAGTCGACACGGTCTTATAAAAAATCCAGACCAAATAGCATTGAACCATCATAATATTAACAGATTACTCCCCAACAAAAAGTGAACCTGAAAAGTCATGGAAGTCCAATCTTTTGTTGTATCAAATATATAATATATTTCATATAATATATAAAATATCTCATATAATATATAAAATATCTCATATAATATGTAAGATATCTTATATAATCTAGTTTTTATAAGATATCTTATAAACTTTATAAGATATCTAGATATATTATATACTTTATAAGATATCTTCTAAAGTTTATAAGATAACTTCTAAATTATATAAGATATCTTAAAAAGTTTAGAAGATATCTTATAAATATTATTTATATAAGATATCTTATTTACTTTATAAGATATCTCATTTAACTTATAAGATATCTTATAAAGAAAATCATATGAGATATCTTATAAAGTTTATTAGATATCTTAACGGTAGAATAAATAGTAAAACGGCTTGCCATAAGTACCCGATCTTTCACGATCATGAATATCAAATTTTATACAAATATTCCAATTTTGACCCATTTTCAGAATAAGCTACTTCCAAATAATTTTGAGAGCCATTTGAAACATTGTTATAGAACGACATTGTTCAGAGAATGTTAATTTAGTCATTCATATAATGAAACAAATCATGTTTGTTTACGTGTTTTATATCATTGAAATATTGAAAAGCAATCTGCCTTTTGTAGTTTTGTAAAGACGGTGATATTTTAAACTCTGATTTTCTTGGACACTGATCAAAATGTTGAACCATTTTGACAGCTTTATTTTTTTTCAAAATTTGTCCTTAAAAAATTATTAAATTAGATTATCTAGTGACCTTGCATGTGTCTTCTCGATAAGATTTCCTTCACGATCCAATCGCAATACTTGACCACTGTTACTTACTTATTCTTTCACGATCATTTTTCTCGATATACCGAATGACAGCCGTGTATAAGCTAATTATTATTTCAAACCTTAGGGGTCTATATAAAGTGTAACATCTGTATTAACTATTTTGATATTGACTGATTTTAGCATTGTAATCAATGAAATCAACACCAACCTATATAAATGATAGTGCGGGTGGGGCATCCGTGTACTATGGACACATTCTTGTTTTTTTCTAGGTTTTGTTTATTCAGTTCTTATAATAAAAATAGAAGTGGTATGTTTTATTTTTTGGCGGGTACAAGTGACAATTTAGAAATTAGCCTACTATCACCTAGGCCTGATGTAAATGACAAAATCATCGGAGCTGTAGTCCTCATGCAGTGCTTATAACTTTCAAGTTTTAAAAATCATAACAACTTGGGCGTCGGAAATGACGACGTTTTGTATTTGTTATTGGTATTTTAATCTGTTTGATTTTGTTTGTACAGTTTTTAGTTATGTGTGGCCCGCATTAGCTTCAACTACACACAAAATGTAAATGACGTGTTTGCATTCTGTATGCTTTAAAAGTAACATTCCCTTACAAATATTATTGCTATCAAAAGCCCCCTTGTCTGAGCAGTTAATACATAGACAACCACGACTAAAAGATCGGATAAGACGTTGAATTGATTACAATGTCAAGAAAAGACCTGGGTGCATAGATCCTCTTGCATGCAGCTGAGGGATTAACAAACTCTAACAGTGTTGAGTTAAATTTCAGACAAAGTACACAACTGTATCAGCCGTCGTTGTTTCTTTATCACATTACAATCTATAAGCAACAGAAACTATTCTGGATGGATGAAACTACAATGCCAAAATACTGAAAAAATGTCTGTAAAAATCAGATTTGAGACGATCGTCTTTTCGGTAAAAGCTATTATTTTTTTTATAAGTTTTTTAGAAAAGCTTTTACTTGAGCAATTATTAATGATTCATTGTTACCCACATGTGCGACGCAACTGACCCGAATCTGTAATTTAATCGGATTGCTGAATGAATCCAATGTTTGACGTAGTGTAGTCAGACGATAATACAACGACAAAATTAAAGACAATGTTTTATATTATCAGTTTGAGACGGTAAGCTATTATTTAATTCCAAGTTACTATTTATCCAATTACATATCTGTCTGGCAGCTTTCATCTGACCTTATATGAAATATAAAGTTCCTGTAATATCCTGTATATTGTTGTGAAGGAACATTTGCATCGGATTCCTGTCTGTCTTGGGTAGTGTTAATTACCGCCCCCCTTTCGGAATATCAAATGGTCATCCGGCTTTATACTCATGACTGTCGACATATGTACATTGTAAATACTGAAATAAAGCGAATTTCGATTTGACAATAAAATTATATACACATCTTGGGTAAAGGATCAGTTTAAACAATATGGGTTTTACCTGATCTCACCTGTAATGTGTAATAATGGGTTTAGCTTGATTTATACGTTATTTACCAACCAATGTTATTGTTATAACTGTGTGCGTGTTTGTGTGGATTGACAATGAAAATCATGTGAAGTTTTATTGGATTGTTACAAACAAACCTCGTGAAACAAACAAATACTTTATTTGTCAATCACGGTGCCCAAAATGAGCAGAATAATTACAATATAATTTTTCAAACATATAAAATATATAAGTAAAATAAAAACAGGTTATATACAAATTATAACATGATTAGTTTTGGTTTTAATACATGTATTGTATATGTGTGTATCGGTAATGCTATTTATAGACGTTAAAGATGGTTAATGCTGTTGACAAGTAAACGGATAGTGATCATATCTTTAGATATTCCAAAGGATGTCGATAAAACAATTAGCAATTTACATATTTTTTATCCAAGCTAATTCTGCTAAATACACACCGAATTGGAAATCTTTAGATTCTAGACCTTTACCGCCATGGTACGATCAAGCAAAATTTGGTATATTTATCCATTGGGGTGTATTTTCAGTTCCAAGTTTTCATTCGGAATGGTTTTGGAATTATTGGAAATTGCAGAAAATTCCAGATGTTGTTTCTTTTATGGAAAAGAATTATCCACCGGATTTTACATATGCTGATTTTGCTTCACAGTTTACTGTAGAGTTTTTCAATCCACGGGAGTGGGCGGACATATTACAGGCCTCGGGTGCACGGTAAGTCAATGACAAAATACAAGATAACTGTGATTCATGATAATTTCAGCGTATTTCTTGTTGTTATGAATTGATGTAAGCTTACGTCAAGGACTTAAACTAATGAACCACTACCATACTGAACCCTTCATACAATACATCCGAATATGCATGAAATATTTGCCACTGGACGTTAAGCAACCAGGAATCAATTAAGACACTACATGGACATTATTGATTGATTGATGTCAGATTGCTTAACGTTTTGTCTTATATTGACACAAGGGCAAGAAGGGTATTATTATTCTTATATTAGACACTCGGAAAAAAGGCCGGGGTGGGGGGGGGCTGACTTAATTTCATGTAATAGTTCTTTCAATCTCTACTAATATTTACAGTATCTCAGCTCCCTGTGTGTAATTTTTAAGTTGTAACAATATAAAGACTTTTTTTCTAAACGGACCATTGAATTATAAACGCATGAAGATAGCCCTTAACCTCATTTTTGATTGATTTTGGCAATTTGAGAATATTTATTTCAAAAATGAATAAAAAGAAGATTTTAAACCAAAACCGAAATTCTGTTGGATATTAAGCTATATATTATGATTTGGATGGAAATTAATTCATTTTGGTTAAAGACTTCTTTCGCTGCAAAGTTTTACAAAGACCTGTAATATGTAAAATTATTTGCGATTTTGAATCAAAATGCCTTCAACGACCTTCAACACTAATAGGTAGTGCTGAATAACATTTTGATTTTGTTGTTACAAGAACAAATGTTGAAAAATGTTTTAAGGACATGATAAACTACTCTTAAATATTCAAATTCCAATGTACTGAATATTAAATATTGAATAATTCATTATTCAGTATTTGATTCTACCTAGAAATTTTAAGGATGATAATACAAAACACAATCAGAATTATGCGAGCGTCAAGAATGTTCAAATCAGTTTATTTTTTATGACAGCCGAACATATCTATAAGTTTATTTTTCAGATATGTTGTCCTAACCAGCAAACACTGCGAAGGGTTCACAAACTGGCCCTCAAAATACTCCTTCAACTGGAACTCCAATGCCACGGGTCCTAATAGAGATTTAGTTGGTAAGTGTACCATTAAATCATGTAAATGGTTGATTACAGCTCCTCAAATTAAACAATATAGTAAATTAGCAGCAATCAATTTTAATGATTGTTACAAAGTTACATTAAAACTACAAATTTATGCAAACTATTCAACAACAGGACAATTTAACTTAATTCGTTTGCACTGTAGATCTGTTATTGTTATAGCTGGTAATCATAAATGATAAAAATAGAAGAAAAAAAAAAATTCAGATTTAATAATTTATGCATTGTAATATATCCATTTCAGGCGAACTTTCCAGTGCCATACGAGAAAAAACGAATTTAAAATTTGGATTATATCACTGTCTTTCTGAATGGTTTAATCCACTTTACCTCAGTGACAAGGAATCCAATTTTACAACACAAGATTTTGTAAAGGTATTTGTTTTTCATTCTGACAGTTTTATATGTGGTAAGCTACTTTTAACTATGCATAGAACCTACATATGTGTACAGTTCCACAAATATGAACTTTCCGTTATTCCTCTGTTCCTCTGATTTTTTCAAAGCACTTCACCTAAATGACGAGAATTAAAATACCGTTACCTGAGATTTCTTAAAGGTATATGCTTCCCTCTTACATTCCAATAAAATGCAAAAAACTGTATTTTACATCGAACCCACAAACGTGCATGTTCAGGTTTTTATTGCCGAAAAAGAAAATCCGAATTCCTGTACACGCCGAGTTCAACGTATACGTAACAATGTGAACATAGCAGGCATTCTGATAGCCAGACAGACAGGTTAAATATTTTCCTTGAATAATTACAAACATTTGAAGTTGATTTCTACGAAAAGCTGCTGAGGGGAACGGAGATATTGACCAGGGTCTTGACCAGGGTCAAAGATAGGCTATAAAACATACGCTCCCTTTTGATTTCGAAAAAAAATCATGATTTTGGCATAAAATCGGCCAAAAATATTTTTCCTTACTCCGCTCGGCGATAAATACCGTATATATTGCATTTTATGGAATTGCGCCGGCCTCCTTTTGAAAATCTTGAAACCGCTCCTGATGAGTTTGTTGCCACTCTATTTTTATTATCAACACAAACTCTCATGTCACTGCTTTTGTTATTAAGATTGAACTTTCAGTAACAACTCATATTGTAGTACAGGCTATTAGCGACCGAATAATAGTTTTTCCCAATGATAGTATTGTACGTACAGAAAATACAACAGAACAACGAACGAATAATACAGAGACATTATTTGTTTAGAAAAAAAAACAATGTTTATAATTGATAATTAGTCATGACACTTGTATACCGATATTTGTAAAATGTATTTATTCCCCTTTTTATGAACGTTTAACGTACGTAAAGTTACCTAGTGTGTCTTTGTTACCACTCACGACGTTCATTTTAACTTGTTTACGATCAATTCTTGTAAAAGAGAGGCGAAAGATACCAAAGGGACTTTCAAACTCATAAGTCGAAAACAAACTGACAATTCCATGGCAAAAAACGAAAAATGACTAAGACACAAACAGTATACAATACACAACATAGAAAACTAAAGACTGAAAAACTAAAATTGAAATTGGTCGGATTAATGTGATTAATTACAATATAAAACCATGTCAATATAATACTTCCATGATAAAACCAACTGTGCATTTTCTTTTTTTTCTAATTGTTTCTATATGTCGTAACATGTGTTATTAAAATTAATAAGTGCAATCCCAAGTGTGACTGGGGAATAGAAATATGGTCACTTTGGTAATAAAACCCTAGCTTGTGAAAATGCGGCGTCTCCTTGGCTGTGCGGGATGTACAGGTAACGCATCCACGTCCGATCAGATTGTGGACGTTAAAAGAATTTTTCAATGAAGGTAGTGGAGTCGCGCGTTTGGACCAATTTCGTCTTTTTCCGTTTAAATTCTGTTCCATATGATGATTATTCCATTTGTTTAGGTTCAGGAGTCTATTTTTCTCATTTGTTTAACTTAGTTTAAGATTATGCCCGAGCTTTATGAACTGGTCAGCAAATATAAACCAGAGGTGCTTTGGTCTGATTTGTGTGAGAAAAAAGGACCTGCATCCTATTGGACTTCAAGGGAATTTCTTACATGGCTTTACAACGAAAGGTAAGAGCTAAATATTCTATGGTTTTCAATATTATATGTTAATGTAGGCAAATATGGATTTTCATTAACAAAATAATCAATCTCTAGTTATCAACTTGTATTACATCGCTTGGTCTTTTTGTTTCTCCCGAATATTTTTAGTGCCCTGTGTAATTTTCATCAGTTTATTGCGCGCTTGATCATGATACTCTACTTTGATTCCAGCGCTACTGGTGAGTCTTGCGTAGACAACTTATGCTCAGGCGTATTAATTATAAACCTGGTATCTTTGATACATTTTAACTTTGGGAAATTAAGGATTCAATGGGAAACAGCAGTAAACACTAAACTATTAATTAAAAGTTCAGATTTTGGCAATTAACCCAGAAATGACAAGATAGTGCAGCGATTCATATTGCGATACAAGAGCAGTGATGATGTATCAATTTGATGACAGAATTTATTCCAAATCCATAGCCACAAAACATCTTCTGAAAGTGTTACTGCATCTGGAAAATTTGAGATTATGAAACTTTTTCCTTTTTTATTAAAACTAATTTCTCTTTATAGAACAAGAGAAAGTTTATGCTAACAATCCTAAGATATGAGAAGCTTACATCTAATACATTCAAAATATCTACGTTTATTGTAAATCTAAGAGGAGAAAGGAGTGATATAATGATAATATAGTTTCCCTTACTATCACAAATGCTATTACAGTTCAAACTATACATGTCTTTATGATATTTTTATCTATATTTATCCGTCTGCATACATTACTGTTCCTTAAGGGTTAAAACTTAATATCAACAATACCAGGAAACGCTTCTTTGGTACATTTTGATTTGGACGATAATCACATAAAAATGTACTAGTGCAGTGCAAGATGTTGGGCGAACATATCGCTGAAGTAAATCATATAACACAGTTTGTGTATCGGTAAACTTGACTTGCTGTTATTCCTTTGGTTTTAAAGGAGATACAGAAGTGTTCAAAAACCTTTGATAAATCTGAAAGCAATTTAAATTCTAAAATTGTTTCAGTCCAGTGAAAGAGTCAGTTGTAACCAATGACCGTTGGTGTGATGTTTGTTTGTGTAAACATGGCGGATATCACACATGCACAGACAGATACAACCCAGGTGTGTACTATAAACCACATAATGAATAAATTTGTCTTTTAGTATATGTTTTTTTTCTTGCATTAAACATAAAACATGTATACAGTCAAGTTCTTTTTCAATAATTCATGAATTTTTTGCCAATTCATTGATTCCATATTCATCATGCCAATATCCGTCCATTGATAATTAAGTCATAGTTTATCATTTTTTTGAAAATTTTATCTTTTTCACGCGGTCTGTAGGGGAACAAGGACGATTTCAAAATTTCTAATAAAACGTTGCTTCAAAGTTTCTCAAATACTGCTTATCTTCAAAGAGTATATATAAGTGTAATACAGAAATTTCCCACTTCCATTAATTGTTTGTCCTTTTAGATCCTTACACGTACTGCATAAAAACCATAAAGTTGCCAAAAAGGAGCTTGAACTGTCACGCCTTTTCATTCGAGCTTTGAAAACTTACAAATATTAATCATAGAAATGACTTATACATCCAATGAATGTAAAGTGAGATTTTTAAATTATTACCCAAGTTAAACATACATTCTTTAGCGCATCTAATTATTATAACAAATATCTTAAACAAGAATTACAGAGTTTTATTCAAACCTCATATTAGTTACCTTTGAAAGCTCAACGTATATACCAGTGTAATTGTAGGTACATTGCAGAAGCATAAATGGGAAAACTGTATGACAATAGATCGGAGGTCATGGGGATATCGTAGAAATGCAAATATTGAAGATTACTTATCTGTGCATGAAATTATTACAACTTTCGCATCGACAATCAGGTAATTATTAAACGGATGATAATTGCAAAAGAATGTTTTTAAAGACTACATTTTTATTGATCACATTTTGTATTAGCTTAGATTATTTAATCTGAATTATAATTTCTATTTAAAATGTGATAATATGAAAATTGAATGCTAAAATCTTCTTTTTTGTTCTAAAAATTACACCAAAAACAAGGCAAACGTGTTTAATAGACAGGATAGTGTAGACGGGTTTTGATACTCATTGATGTAGATAGCAGATATCAAAAACCAAAGATCGTAAGATGGAGAATATTATAATAAAGATAAGACAAACAAACACTTGTAACCCGCAAATTTCATGAAAAACTTACAATATAGAAAACTTGAGGAGAACCCTGTTAAATCCGAAGATGAACAAAAGTACATGTACTATACCAAATTGCAATCAGAGAACATTATTATTAAAAAAAACCCAAATAAAAGTATGTTCCCTGAAGAAATACATGTAACAGATAAATCAAACAATATATATGTTTTTAGTTGTGGTGGAAACATGTTAATGAATATTGGTCCAACCAAAGAGGGTATACTTATGCCGGTATTTGAAGAAAGACTTCGACAGTTTGGTAGCTGGCTGAAAGTAAATGAGGAGGCTGTATATGGATCTGTGCCATGGAGTCATCAGAATGATAGCTTAACCAAAGATATTTGGTATGGTTGAACGTTTTTGATTATGATATACGTTATTCATTTTAACTACATAAATTAAGGATTCAATGGGAATTGGATGTTTTCATATTCTTACATCACAATATTTTAAACCAGCGGGTTAAATACATGTAGAGGAAACAGCAGTAAACACTAAACTATTAATAGTAACGCCTTGAATGTAGATGAAATATTGATCGATAGTTATTCAATTAATCAATCAATCAATCACTTAAATGATATTAAAGTCCACAACGTGTTGTTAAAGATGCGATATCAATCTGATTGGATGTAAAATTTATAGTTTTAAAAATAATCACATTGGTATCATGGTTTATTACAAACATTAGCATTGTATAATCAATCAATGTTATCGGATTGATGTCCCCCCATGGACATTATTTCATTGGGGACATTATTAAATCCTACAAAAACAGTCAACACACACGAAGCAGGCAACTTAGAAAAATTATAGACATTCTTTTTCTAACTCAACAGGTATACAATGCGAAAAACTGATAATGATGGAACTGTTGTTTATGCAATATTGCTGTCATGGCCAGTGCAGTCTGTGTTGAAGTTATTTGAGCCTTTAGCAACACCTGACACACAAGTAACCATGCTTGGTTATCAGGGAAAATTTAGCTGGATTCCTGGACTTGAATATCAAGGAATTTATGTCAATATGCCAATGATATCATGGAATAAACTGCCTTCTCAGTGGGCCTGGGTATTTAAATTGACGTTTATTGACAATTAGTCTTCTTATTAACAAATAAGAAACGGACTCTACCACCAGTCACCATCAGTCTGTGTACTAAAGAGGTAGCCAGCTATGCAACCGTATTATTATATCAACAAGTGAAATGTCCAAAACGAAAGAGGAATTTGTATAGGACAGATATGTCTTGTCATGCACTTTTCCCGAACGTATTTGTTTGTAGCAAAACATAGAAGGAGCTGTTAGTCATGGATAAAACTAGCATCATATCAAGCTGAGTTTCACAAATTTTGAATGTTTGCAAACTTCGGAAATAATATTTGTTTGATAATATAAATGTGTCAATTTTTATTTACAGGAACATCAATAGAGAAATTGGTTTTGATATGCATAATTTTGAATACAGCTTCAATTTTTTAACAACATTCCAAAATAAATTTTTAAAAATCTGTTGATAAACGAGCATCACATTATTTGATAGATACAGCTTCTGTATTAATATATCACTCACTTGAGTTCTTAAGAAAAGCCATTTCATCGCCCTTTACTCCATCATTCCTTTCTTATATACAATTGTTGTTTAAAAACACTTTATTGTCCTCTTTTTCATTACTAATTGTTCATCTTTGTTTTCTGAAATTCACAGTTATACTATTAGATAAGAGACGTCTTTAAACCAGCTATGTAATGAAGCCTTTTCGACGACGAAGACTTGTCAGATTTTGACACGAGTTTCACGATTAGTGTCAATAGCGGAACTGGAGCTACAACTCTATAAATTCATTCATTGTTTTGCCGGACTACTGTTATTCAATCTTTAGTTTTTACATGTAATGGTTGGTGGTTTGTCTTTTCGATTTTTTCCTTGACCATGGTGTTTTCTTGTTTTTTTTTTTGGTTTTTTTTTCAGTTCATGGCTTACTATAGCCCCTTGGTATCTTTTTACCTTTCTACATCACGGAAATATTTAATAGCAAAATATGATAAAAATGATGGAATGCATTTCTAGCACTCAATATCGATACATTACACTTCTTCTAAACCTATTAGTGTTTGATTGTACGCCTGAATAAAATAATAACAATATGTATAATTACCTATTACACAATACTTTGGAAACTCTACCAGTAAAATCATTTCCACTTTATAATGGAGGTAATAGCACATAAGAATGGAAAAGTTTTATCATCCATTTGAATACGCTTTCATGCAATATTGCAAGGTTGTAAAATTGGATACTATTGATGATGAGTTTCATTGTACATTTTCATGTACATTTTTATAAGGAAAGAAAAACTTTTACCACGCGATATTTCCTACAAACATAATGTTGATTTAAAAAATGCTTATTATCGATACTTATGAAATATGCTTTAAACTTGCAATTGGTTGTAAAATTGTGTTATCAGCTGTTGTCATATATTCTTGCCTGCTTCCTGTAATTTGTTTGTTTATTTTACTTCGATAATTTGTTGTTTATAAATTTAATGTTCATCATTATGTATATGTGTTATTGTTTGTAATTATTCAAAGACCCGTGTTGGGGTTATGAGAAATAAAATACAAAATACAAATAATTAATTCAACATTTAATTGTTTAATTGTCCCGAGCAATAGACTGGTAATTACAGATGCTGTGATTGTTAGTTAATTCAATTATATTTACGTTATGTCTTTGGTACTTTGCTTGACAACAACTACGTATTCCCCTATCTGATTAGATTATTTTTTTACACTTTAGACTTTAATTGGTGAAAAAGTTATGGAAGAAAATTACCAGACTTTATCCTGCAATCGACCTTTCTACTATACTAATACAGGTGTACAGATAACACGAAGCAATATACGTACATTAGACGTTTATAATCTCCTTGTATTCTGCTTCTGTTGCGAGCGAACGGTTATGTCAAATTACTGTTTACGCCACAGTTCAATTTGGGGTCCTCATTGCGGTCCGCGTTTAAGTCATGTCGATTTCTTTCAAAAACAAATTCAACGACCTCGGCTCGAAACAGCAGTAATAGCTCACTGAAGCTCGCATTACACCTGTTTCTTAGCCTCGTACAAATACAGCTGATATTTAAAGACACTAAACAGTTATTGTCTATGAGTTTGCTTGTAATGAACAGTATTTTAGCATTCTCGTGAAAGTTAAATTTAACTAGTGAAGGCAAGCTTATTAGAATTTAACTTCAGTTATCGTAAGTGAAAATTGTCGTTACAACTCGCAACTGAGGAAGAATCATTACTTACTCCAATACTCCCAAGGACACCATTAACTTCAAGTTATTATTGTATTTTATGTGGTTTCCCGCTAGATTGTACAGCTTCTTGCTCGAAAATGAAATCGAATTGTTGATGTAAATGCACCAGTTGCACATTTGGAGAATCTCTTCACAGGCGGAACCCAGTTGAAATAGAACAAAAGAATCGAAGCTCTTTGTTAGAGAAGGCGATAAATGCTTACTGTTATCATTACTGTAGTAACTATTCAAATTTTAAAGTAAATTTGGATTTTAATAGATAAATACTTACCATCATAAATTCTGAGTGTAACCCCAATTGCGTCATAGGTCAGATGGAAAATCCCGACTAAAAATAAACGTACTCTCACTGGTCCGGACATATACCCCTGTTTGCCCATATTCTCCCATTCAATTTCCTCAAGACAGAAACGTAAGGAAAGGGGATGAAGGGGAGGTGGGTGGGACCTATAATTTATGATGGTAAGTATTTATCTAATAAAATCCAAATTTACTTTAAAATTTGAATATTTTATAGCTATAAATACGTTACCATCATAAATTCTGAGTAACAGAATCTAACGTAAAGCTGAATCCCCTGTAACAGAAGAAACAGGAGGAAAGTTCAATCTTTGTGCTGAAACTATAGGTCCAAGAGAGTATAAACTCTCGGCAAAAGTAGCCATAGATTGTAGGTAATGAGATATAAAAGAGTTCTCATTTCTCCAGAAACCTGCAGACAGTACCTCTTCTAAAGATGCACTGTTAAACAGAGCCCAGGATGTAGAGATACCCCTAACATCATGAGCTTTAACATTAAAACTATTTAAAAGTTCTGCCTTAGAAGAACCATAAGCTAAAGATATGCATTTGCATATCCAAGTAGAAATAGTTTTAACAGAAAGATCTGAGATTCCTTTTTTAATAGGAATAAAGAGTCTTGAGTTAGAAACAGAACGTAAACTACTCGTTCTATCCAGATAAATAGAAAGGATTCTTACTGGACATAAAAGTACAGAAATAGAATCGCTAGGGAGTGCAGGAATCACGACTGGTTCTGCACCCTTATCTGGAATCTGATTCTTTGCCAAAAAAGCAGGATCCGTTAAAAGAGTAACAGAAGATTTATCCCTGTTAAATCGAAGGCAAGCATCAGAAATAGAGAAGGCATGGATTTCACTCCTTCTCCGTCCAGAAGCCAAAGCTAAAAGAAAACAGCATTTATAGGAAAGAAACCTTAAATCTATTGTTTCTGCTGGTTCAAAAGGAGGAAGTTTTAAAAAAGATAAAACTAGTCCAAGGTCCCACTTAGGAACTAAAGTTTTTTGTCTTGGTCTTTCAAGACTAAAACTACGAACCAAAAGAGAAATATGCTCATTGTTTCCAAAGTCTGGGCCACCAGAAATATGAATAGTTCTTGAAATAGCTGATCTATATCCCTTAATAGTAGAGGGACATAATCCTTTGGATTCAAAAAGAAAAACTAGAAAGTCTGCTAATTGTTGAACAGTGACTTGGAAAGGATCAATTTCCCGCTCACTACACCAATCTGAGAAGATTGACCATTTTGCATCATACACAATGCTAGTGGAGTCTCTGACAGACTTTGTGAGATGCTTGGTTGCTCCTTCAGAAAATCCTCTCTTTCTGAGGCTAACCCTGAGAGAAGCCAGGCGTGTAGATGAAGTTTTTCTGGATTTTGATAAAGAACCTTGCCCTTGATTTGAGACAGAAGGTCTGGTCTCAGAGGTAGAACTAGAGGACAAGCACATGATAGGCGCAGAAGGTCTGGAAACCAAGACTGTTTCGGCCATGCTGGAGCAATAACTATGATCTTGCAATTTTCCCCTGCTATTTTCTGAAGTACTGGGGAGAGAAACCTGAAAGGAGGGAAGGCGTACCCGAACATTCCTTTCCAAGATAGACTCATTGCGTCTACCGCAAAAGATTTTGGATCTGGAACCGGAGACACAAATGTTAGAAGTTTGTGATTGAGACTGGTCGCAAACAGATCTATCTGAGGTGACCCCCAATGAAGAGTCACAGCTTTGAAAACTACTTGAAGTAGTTCCCACTCCGTGTTTACTGGAGCAAGGGATCTGGATAGAGTGTCGGCTAGAATATTGAGGTGCCCCGCAATATGTCTCACCACTAGATGAACCTGGAGTTGAAAACACAGAAGGAGAATGTCTCTGGCTATCTGATAAAGAGAAGGTGAATGAGTTCCTCCCTGATTCTTGAGATAAGCTACAACTGTTGTGTTGTCCGTGGCCAGAATGACAGACTGATTCTTTAGAGACATTTGGAAATGATTCAGTGCAAACAGAACTGCTTTCATTTCCAATACATTGATATGCTCTTCCAAAAGATCTGGATTCCAGATTCCCGAGATTGTAAGCCCCTCCAGATATGCTCCCCAACCGAGGGTGAAGGCATCTGTGAATAATGTTAGACTGACATAGGCCCCTCATTACATTTTCCCGTACTAACCACCATTGAAGGTGTGGAAATAAAGGCTGAGTGATTGGAATCAATGCTTCCCATTCTTGTGAAGCTGGAATCCATAACTTGTGCAGATAAAACTGAAGCGGACGAATGTGAAGTCATCCCAATGGAATTACATCTGCCAGAGAGTTCAATAGACCCAGAAGTTGCAAGAATTGACGTGCTGTGACTGATTGAACCGCCAGGAATAAATGTATTTTCTGACATAGTTTTGTAAATTTTTCCTCTGGTGGGAGGACTAGGCCTACACTGGTTAGGAAATGTTCTCCCAGGAAAACAAAGTCTTGAGAAGGAATTATCTCTGACTTTTTCCAAGAGATTAGGAAGCCTAGGGACAGAAAACAATTGATGACCAAATCTGTCTGAACCCTCAATTTGATTGGGCAAAATTCCTTGAGAAGGGAATCGTCCAGGTAGGAATGAATCTGAATAGACAGGGAATGCAGGTGAGCTATAGCTGCCTGCATGATTTTGGTAAAAGCCAAAGGGGCTGTAGACAGGCCAAAAGGTAGAGCCTTGAACTGGAAAACTTTGTTGTTCCAAACGAAGCGAGGGTATTTCCTGTTGAATCTGTAATAATTTGCACGTGTGATCGATGTCGCAGATGGAAATTGAATGGGAGAATATGGGCAAACAGGGGTATATGTCCGGACCAGTGAGAGTACGTTTATTTTTAGTCGGGATTTTCCATCTGACCTATGACGCAATTGGGGTTACACTCAGAATTTATGATGGTAACGTATTTATAGCTATAAAATCAAATTTTACAAGTTAATAGAAACAAATAAAATGACAGTTTTTGGCTAAATTACGAAATATTTTATCATAAAAACACAATTTGCACAAGTTTTCAATTTATCTATTACATAATTAAGCAGAACAATTAGGTATCAGGTCGACGACATGGGTGTCTATTAAGTTGGATCTAAAAAATGCATAACCTCCGATTTTTCAAAAAAAAATTACCACGGACGGAGAACATATCAATCTATTTGTTCCTTAATTTTCGTTTCTGCCCTTCCATTATGTGACTCAAGAAAAAATTCCAAAAAATGGGTAACGATTGCATCGAAAAGAGAAAATAAAGCGCACCTTTTTATGTTGAATATTTTGTCTTGAAAACGTGAAAAGCAAAAGTATTTGATACATCATCTCGCTTCAGATTCTATCATTTTTATATATCAAGGCTACAGGTTGACTTTATAACATCGAAAATTCGCAGTACTAAAAAATGAAATATATAGGTCTAGTGAAATACCTTTTTAATGAATCACAAAAACAGAGTAGGTGTGTTCGAATAACAAATTTTTACTAAAAGTACTTGACGACAGACTTTTAAGTTGGATCTTAAAAATGCATATCTTCCAAAAAACTTCATGTTTTGTGTGTGATATCTAGGGTTTATAGTCTTCAACCACTGAAAAGTTTTAGTCTGCCCTTCAACGAAATATTAAATTAGAATTTTTTTAAATGTTTATGAAATTTCGAAAATTCCACCTGACAACCAATCAGACAAAAGTTTTAAGTTGACTGAATGCAGACAAGTACATTTACTGATGCTCATTAGCTAGTAGATACATTTGTCTTTTAAAATACAACTGGCACATAAGAATCGTAATGGTGCTATGCGGATAAACTTATCGGTATTCAAGAGCTAAATTCGCAGCGCGTCATCCCTACAATGGCTTCCATTATTACGATTGTAAAAATGAACTGGCGTAATGGTGAGATAATTTTGACGAAGTAGAATCCTGACTGTTCATAGATGCTCGAAGCTTAAATATTTGGAAAGCTAATACGTACATCAATCGTTGAGTTGGAGTAGAAGAAATAACTAAAACGATAACTAAAGAAATATATGTAGACTCAAATCTGGCTTACTATACAGAGTTATGGATGAGAAAAATTATCTTAAATTGCAAAATGTTGAAAGTTTGTCTCAGCTTAGAAGTTACATTTTGGGGCTAATAAAAAATAGAAACGTGCATCATACCGTTACTTTCTTTTGAGTTTCAGAAGTAATACAATTGAGAATGGAAATGGGGAATGTGTCAAAGAGACAACAACCCGACCAAATAACAGAAAACAGCCGAAGGCCACAATGGGTCTTCAACACAGCGAGAAAATCCCGCACCCGGAAGCGGGCTTCAGCTGACTACAAAAGTTAATATTAACATAGACTTTATGACACAATTTGACTGTGAAGCTAATCCCAGGAAAATTTTGTCTACTTTACACGAAGATCAAAACTAATTTGTCACTCGTGAATAGAAAAATATAATACACATCTTGACTGAATATCTTTTTGGGCGAGGGTTGTCATCTTTTTTACTTTGAGCATGTATAATTCATTTTGTATGATTTTGCCCTTTTACTGAATTAATTGTCAATCAGAGGCTGTATTACCAATGGATATTTCGAAAGTTGCAATGTATTATTAAAACTCACAGATTAAACATTCGACTCTTCAAATCAGATAGGACAGTCTTCAATAAATTTGATATTAGGTCAATTTGGCCTTGAATATGATCTTAAAGCAAGATTAAGTCAAAGCAAGTCGTTAGTAACGTGTCAATGATTTCATTGCATTTATCTCAGGTTGCAATCTGGTCGAAATACAGATTCTCTTTGTCAACCCTTTTCTCATGACTTGGCATCCGTCATGGTCGGCCTTTTAAGATTTACAAAAATATTTTCCTCTAAAACTACTGGACCAAATTTAACCAAATTTTGCAACAATCATCATTCGGGTATTTAGTTTTGAAAATGTGTCCGATGATCTGGCCTGCCAACCAACATGTCCAACAAAAACAACGGGGTAAAATGTAAGTTTTGTCTATTATCTTTCAATCCGCTATGAATAGAAGAGAGGCGAAAGATACCAAAGGGACATTCAAACTCATAAATCGAAAATAAACTGACAACGCCATGGCAAAAATAGAAAAAGACAAACAATAGTACACAAAACACAACATAGAAAACTAAACATTGAGCAACACGAACCCCACCAAAAACTGGGGATGATCTCAGGTGCTCCGGAAGGGTAGGCATATCCTCTTCCACATGTGGCACCCCTCGTGTTGCTCATGTTAGTACAAACCCTGTGATAATTCTAATTCGGTAGGTCACATTCGGGGAAAACTAGGACGGGATTGTAGATCCGACAATTGGAACATATCCGCTGTCATCTGTGAAACGGATATTCCATAGCGGTCAACCAACTCGATGGCGTCTGTAAAATTTACGAAGGGATGATTTCAACTTCACCACTTGGAGCTCTTGGTTTAATAGTTTCCTTGTGAGCAGCAACCCTCTATCAAGGAAATCATGATAGGAAAAACAAGCCCTGGAATAGTGTATCAACTGGGAGATATATACTTCGAATGCAGGCGCTGCTGGAATGTTGCTACATATAGATGGAAAGTTTACAATTGGGAAACTGAAATCATCTCTTTTGTCGTAAAGTTTTGTTTTCAACCGACCCTCATTGTCAATTTCTAGATGTTAGTCAAGATATGAGGCAGACTTAACTGTATCTGTTGTATCCTTTATCTCAAGTTCGATGGGATAGATGCGTTCAACATAGTCACCAAATTTTGAATTATTTAGTGAGAGAACATCATCTATATAGCGGAAAGTAAAGTTAAAGAATACTGCTAACTTCTTTTCTTTCTTCCTAAGAACTTCCTGTATGAAGTCAGCCTCATATTAATAAAGGAACAAGTCGACAAGAAAAAATCTAACAAGGCAGAAATGTTAAGAATGTTGAGATATACCTACTATCCATTTTCATCAAAACTGCCAGACGACTGCATGTATGATTTATTGCCCTTAAATGACAGATTTTAACATTTTTTTCATTTTTGCCTATTACCTTAACAAGAGTGCACACGCTGAAATGTCTCGTCTACTATACTGACCATTGATTTTATGTTGATAGTCCTACATATAAAGTTTTACTGCAAGTATCACATTAACATTTATGATCCAAGAAAATGAGGTCAAGGTAAGATAAACCAAGGGGGAAATACATGTACACCTTAAATACAATCATTCCATACACAGAATATAGATGACATATTGCTTATTGTATAAAAGAAACAGACCAAACCGTGGAAATTCTATATTTACCAATGAACCATGAAAATGAAGTCAAGGTCAGATGAACCCTGCCAGACAGACATGTACACCTTAAAATCATTCCATGCATCAAATATAGTTGACCTATTGCTTATAGTATCTAAGAAACAAAAGTTAACCAGGAAAACTGAACATTGACCAATGAACCATGCAAATGAGGTGAAGGTCAGATGATACCTGCCAGAAAGACATATACACCTTACAATCATTCCATACACCAAATATAGTTGACCTATTGCTTAAAGTGTAAGAAAAACAGACCAAAACACAAAAACTTAACATAAGCAATGAACCGTGAAAATGAGGTCAAGGTCAAATAAAACCTGCCAGACTGACATGTACATCGTAACACATTTCCATACACCAAATATAGTTGACCTACTGCATACAGTATTAGAAAAACAAACCAAAACACGAAAACTAAACTATTACCACTGAACCATGAAAATGAGGTCAAGGTCAGATGACACCTGCCAGTTGGACATGTACACCTTACAATCATTCCATACACCAAATATAGTAGACGTATTGCTTATAGTATCTGATATATGGACTTGACCCCGAAAATTTAAACTTGTTCACTGATCCATGAAATGAGGTCGAGGTCAAGTGAAAACTGCCTGACAGACATGAAGACCGTGCAAGGTACGCACATACCAAATATAGTTATCCTATTACTCATAATAAGAGAGAAATTAACATTACAAAAAATCTTAACTTTTTTTCAAGTAGTCACTGAACCATGAAAATGAGGTCAAGGACAATGGACATATGACAGACGGAAACTTCATATCATAAGGCATCTATATATAATGTATGAAGCATCCAGGTCTTCTACCTTCTGAAATATAAAGCTTTTTAGAAGTTAGTTAATGCCGCCGCCACTGCCGGATCACTATCCCTATGTCGAGCTTTTTGAGACAAAAGTCGCAGGCTTGACAAAAACTATAGTAGATGTGAGAATTAAAAAAAAAAAACATCCAGCAAATTATTTTCTCTCTTTCAGATACCGTTACATATATGATATCTTTTCAATCATTATAATTTTTCCAACAAGTACTTGCATCTCATATATAGTTATCCAAGGCAATTTGAGATTTGGGATAATCCATAGACAAGAAAAATCTACTCATTTTTTAGATCATTTCCTTAAAATTGAAGTTGATGGTTGATTGAAAAATCGGTTATATAACAAACTTGAGAATTTCATTCTCTTGTTGTAAACTTACCGTTCTGGGGTTATAACTTATCCTCTACACTTTTGTATGGAGTAAACTTATCTCATCTGATACAACATGCCAGAACATGTTCCCATTATGTCAATAATAATCCTCACTCGAAAACAAATTCAGCGAAAATATGAGAAAGAATAATTGAAATTGTCACTTAACAAGTTCCATGATTGCTCTTACGAATGATTTGATTGCTACAGTGTTTAAGTTTCATAACTTTGTCTAAAGACATTTTATTTTAAAGAGATGAAATCCCTCCATTGAAGTCTATCCGACATGACAAATTTTAACAAGATCCTAGCCTTGCTATTTGCAACTGATTTTAGAATTGAATGATGGGAAATGAGTGAATATTGAGCAGTATGCTTAACCTGTTGGTGCACCATGGTTGGTGCTTACCCTGTTGGTGCACCTAACTTCTGTTTGCAGTTTATTATTCCTACTGCTTTTATTTGGGTGTTTGGACCTGACATCTATATTCAACTGACATCTGTATACTGTAAAAAGTTCAAGATACTGGGGTAACAATAGACATCTTCTGACATGGTGTAGAATTATAGGAGCATTTCTGTTTGACATTCTTCTGTTCAAACTTCAATAGCAGGATGCTATGAGTGCACAAGATAATTTATGCAGACTGAACTAAAATTTCTGAACTGTTTCTTTTACAACACAGACATGTCGAAGCCTATTTCACTGCAAGTTTTGTGAACATTTAGATTGTTTAAGTTTGCAAATGACAAACATACAACTGAGATTCCATCATATTTTAGAATGAAACATAACACTAAACATTTGAATCATTCTTATTCTATTATAAGATAGACGATAACAATAAAAGAATGCATTGCCTTAAAACAAATAGTCTTGAGTTTTAAGCATATATTTTAATAAAATTTAGGATTTCAATAAAATACAAAAATGTAAAGTAGTAAATAGAAAAATCAATAATGAAAGAGAAATCATTGGAATGTATAGTAATGGACACACATTTACACAAAATGGGTTCTTAATCATTATACTAGTACTGATTTGAGTTATTTACTGTAAATTCAGAAATTATTGCGTGCATTTATTATTGTGATTTTGTCATTTTAGACTAAAATGGGATTTTAACTTTTGCGATATTGAGAAAAATACTGTTTGATTCATATTAAAAATTTCAAAATGCGAGTTTAAATTATTGCGATTATAACCCTGTCGCATTTTTCGTAATAATAAAAACATCGCAATAATTTCTGAATTTACAGTATTATCTTTTTATGATGGAACTATTAAATTACTTGATGTATGTTCTACAGTTTCTTACTATGACACATACTCAAATGGTCAAGAATTTCATCTGATTCTCATTCGAATAGCAAAACTGAAAATGTCAACAATTCTTTCCTATATAAACTGCATATTCGTATCAACATTATCTAACCATCATCTAGTAAATAAATTTCTGGAAAGTTCAGTTATGGATAGATTTCTGAATTTTGATATTCGCTATATAATGTTATAAATCAAATATGAGAATTTAAGTCAAGTCGGTGATCATGAATTTGTTAGCTGATGCTCCTTTAAAATTGTGACTTGTTATATTTTATCAATGTAAGGTGAACCATGCCTAATTACTTACATTTTATCATTTGTAACAATTTCATGAATACAACATGGACGAAATTAAATAATTGAACAAATTTAAGCTATCAGGCTGAATCAGATTCCTTACAAATATTAATTTTATATCAACCAACATATTTTGTCCATAATGTTTTTTTTTAGTTTTATTTTAACATCTAAATGATATTAAATATCATTAATTTATAAAAAAAACTTGTGCTCAGATAAATCTTCTGTAATATGAAGGTATAAAGTACTATAGATCATGTGTTAACATTACATATATTGCACTTTTAAATACAAATGGGTATACACATTACTATGAGTATAAATAAAATTAAACTAATTACACATACAGTCTATTATCAGTTTTTCTGAACAAGTAACAAATATTCTATGATATGTAATCTCATATAAAAATAAAAACTTGCAATAATATTAAATGGCATATCACACATGTTTTCATGATAATTTCAAATTACATTATTCCATGAAACTCTAGTAAAGTGCAATCTGGTAGAAGTTCACAAGAAACATTTGTTAACATGGATTTTTGTCCTTAATTACTAAATAAATCATTAAATGTTTATTTCAGTGAGAAGTTTTATAAAGTAATTTTTTCCTTTCTAGGAATGTTCACCCCAAAATCCTGAAAAATGTAAAATAATTTAGGATTTATAAAACTTGTACCTGGTAAAAGCCAAACACGAAGAAAGATTTTAATAATAACTTTTGGTTAACTAATTGACCCTTTGAACAAATTTTCTGTCTTCCATCAAGATTTAAATCATTCACACGTAATAATCTATTTCATTTATCATCCCACATATAGGATTTCCAACAAAAAGTTTTATCTTCCATTTTCAAATCTATGACTCATTGGATAAATAAACTCATCATAGATATTGGAGTTTTCCTATATTGATTGTTAAAAAGAAGCACAATCCTGATTAGTTCTGTAAACCTGTCATTTTAAATGTCCATGCCCATTCACATGGCATTGTTTCCACAGACAAGGGTGGTATCTGTATATTGATTCCTTTTCCACCTGCACCAGCTGTCCATGTCACTTTTTCAGGATATCCCAACATGCTGACAGTTGTTTCTTTCGATGTTATAGGTGCTCCAAGTTTTACCAAGTTATTGTCGGGCCATTCCAGCAGTATTGCATAAACATCAGTTTCTGTAGCACCCTTCTTCATTGTATACCTTTCAAAAGATAATGCAGTATTGTATACTACTTGAGGTTTTAAGATTACAAAAACATGATAACAAGATGCAAGACATTGTCTAAAAAAACATATAATACAAAAAAATAAAAAAAGTCATATTATTTTTGTCTCACAATTGTTATTATCATAAGCATTCTACAAGCAGATTTATAAATGGTATTTAACTGCTAGTGGATAAAATACACTGATGCAATTTCCCCTGTAAAATGTTGAACTTAAAATGTTTCTAGGGAATTCTGGAAAAGTGTTAGTAGCGAAAAATCTATCCAGTACATTATCTGTATTTGCATTATCACCCCAGATACTTTTATACAAATCATATGGCCTTAAATTTTTTCAATAAGACTTGATAAACTTTCATTCATAAATTTATCAATATTTATGGTATATCTTTTATATGTGTAGTGTTGGAAGTTTTCAGAAAAAGGTATTTTAAAACATACTGGTATAATCAAGAAACTGTTCATCACCTATATGACAAGTTAGTGGTTATTCAGTAAACAAAAGTGCACACACAGAAATATTTCTATTTACAAAATAATGAACTAGATATTTTTTATCTTAGTTCGAAATTTATCTAAAAGTTAATTATTATTTGTTAAAATATATTTTTAAATTAAAATTTAATGATTGGTTGTACATCAGTAAACTATTTTCACATACCACACATTTTTAACTACAGTGTCATTCTGGTGAACCCAGGGTTTAGTTCCATAGATTCCATCTCCATTTACTCGCAGCCATTGTCCCATCTGACGGAGTCTCTCTTCATAAATAGGACTAATCTTTCCATATTTTGTAGGACCAACATTCATCAACATATTACCTCCGCAGCTAAATGTAAATATTAAAAAAATACATTAAGTTTATTAAATTTATACTCGTTTGTACAAAATGAAATATGTACCATTAATGAGCAAATAAAAAAATAGAACAATTGCTGGGTCAAGTTTCTTTAAATTCCATTAAGTTTCTGATGTCTAAATGATGACAAAGCAGGTCTCTGGTGGTAAGTTGTTTCATAGGCAATCATACATCTCCTTATTCTATAAAGCCCACAAAGGAATGTAGGATCCCATATCAGACATGGTGACTTTCTTCTTTTTCTTGGAGACAAAAAAGCAGACTTACGTACTAGCATGAAATTTTTTATTAAGGAATACCCAGTGCTTTCTTTATTACCTGACAGTAGAAATAAACTGTTTTAAAAGATCCTCTATTGTAAGGTAGTCTTCAAGCCTAGCATTTCTGCGGTATCCCCAGGAATATTTGTCTATTGTCATAGCGTTCTCCCATTTGTGTTTCTGCACCTTGCCTTAAAAATAACATAAAAATCTTTTATTCACTTTTGAAATGAATTAATTATTCTTATATTCTACTTCTCCTAAATTGATACTTCATATTTCACAATGTAAATTACTTGACTGTTATTGCAATTTATCCTCATTCCATGTTATTGATTTTTCAATTTGTTTATTGCATAATCATACTTTATAATTTAAGTGAGTTTATTTAGTTTGTTTGCTTCCTATCTTTCAAGAAAATCTAAATGGATTTCCAATGCTGAACAGATACACCATTATTATGCTATTGGTATCTTAAACATTCAGTGCATCAATAAATAAAAAGAAACTAAATTTGACTCTATGAATTAACTCTAGTAGTGGACGTACATGTAGTACCCCAAGGTATAATAACCCTTTCACTCTATCCAATTTTTTAAAAGTAATGAAAACCATGCAAGTAAGAGAGAATAAGCATATATAACATTGTAAATACCTGGATTATATCGATCAGAACATGTATAACAGAGAATAAGCATATATAACATTGTAATTACCTGAATTATATCAATCAGAACATGTATAACAGAGAATAAGCATATATAACATTGTAATTACCTGGATTATATCAATCAGAACATGTATAACAGAGAATAAGCATATATAACATTGTAATTACCTGGATTATATCAATCAGAACATGTATAACAGAGAATAAGCATATATAACATTGTAATTACCTGGATTATATCGATCAGAACATGTATAACAGAGAATAAGCATATATAACATTGTAATTACCTGGATTATATCAATCAGAACATGTATAACAGAGAATAAGCATATATAACATTGTAAATACCTGGATTATATCAATCAGAACATGTATAACAGAGAATAAGCATATATAACAGTGTAAATACCTGGATTATATCGATCAGAACATGTATAAAATCCACCATGTTTACAGGAACATCCAGATCCCCATCTATCATTGGTCACTACTGTATCTTTTACTGGACTGTAATGTTGAACAAAAGGCTTGAACAAGTTGAACATGTATAAATATAACTGTTAAATTTACACACAGGGTTCTCACAAAGGAATTTTTCAAAGGCGAGTCAAGGGAATCATCCTTTTTTGCCATGGCAAGTCCAATTGTGAGAAGAAATAATTTTATTGTTATATAATTTAGTATCTCAGTCTCCCTTATAATAACAAGGATATTTACTCTAACCAGTCTGGTGTGAAAATTCTCAATTATGTAAACTTTAGTTAATTCTAAAATTGAGAATTACATAAAAAAAAGTTAAGCAGTAGCATAATCCTCTTTATCTGATACTTGTGAAAACAATTTATGAGAATAAATGATGGTAAATTTTACATTCAATGTCTTATATTTAGATAGGTGAAAGTGAAACCACCTTACTCTTAAATATACTTTGATGAGGGGCATCTTATACAAAAATGTAACTTTGTTAATGTTAGTAAAATATCATTTATGGATAAACCTGTTGCTCAAGTTTAATATTAACCAATGCTACATGTTAATTTGCCATGTGATTCAAATATATATATTTTGACTTGTTAATTACACCATATACCCAACTGCTGAACAGAAGTAAGAATTCAATATTCCTCACAAACTTAGATACCATTAGGGCAATCTCAACAGCAACATACCTGTGTGTTTGTAAATTTCACTGTGCAACAAATTTTTACATAAATGTTTAGAAAATTTAAGTTCATTAAAATCCTGGCCAATTTGTACACAGATTTAAACCATTACAAATCTAAGGGCTCACTCAGTCTGCTACTTTTTATATTATTTGTGGGTTGTACTTTTTGCAATTTAAAATGCATATGAATTATAACAAAAATTTGAATACAGTGAAAAATGGCTGCCTTTTACTGGTTGGAACATTTTATCTGTAGTTACTCTGATAATTGAAGTTAATACTGACCTTTCATTATAAAGCCAAGCCAGGAAGTTGGTTGAATTCCAGTAGGCATCAGCAGCCTCCCAGTCTCCATCAGACCATATAACTTCAGGTTTGTATGCATTCACCAGTTCATATAATTCAGGCATAGTCTTAGTCTAAAAAATGTTATATCATTTTGAGATCACTTTTGCAAATACTAACAGTATTTTCATATTTGTATAAAAATGTCTTAATCTCTTTCTAACCTTATGTAGATAATTTGTTGATTATTTAATTGTACAAGGATCTGTAATCCAAAAAAAAAAGATATATGGGATAAAAATAGACATTTACTTATCCATGAATTCATGCTAAAATAATGCATCACAGTTATAAGTACATGTATAATCAAACAAGAATGTGTCCATAGTATAGGATGCCCCACTCGCACTATCATTTTCTATGTTCAGTGGACAGTGAAATTGGGGTCAAAACTCTTTATTTGGCATTAAAATAAGAAAGATCATATCAAAGGGAGCATGTGTACTAAGTTTCAAGTTGATTGGACTTCAACTTCATCAAAAACTACCTTGACCAAAAACTTTAACCTGAAGCAGGCACTATCATTTTCTATGTTCAGTGGACCAAGAAATTGGGGTCAAAACTCTAATTTGGCATTACAATAAGAAAGATTATATCATAGGGAACATGTGTACTAAGTTTCAAGTTGATTGAACTTCAACTTCATCAAAAACTACCTTGACCAAAAACTTTAACCTGAAGCAGGCACTATCATTTTCTATGTTCAGTGGACCGTGAAATTGGGGTCAAAACTCTAATTTGGCATTAAAATTAGAAAGATCATATCAAAGGGAACATGTGCACTAAGTTTCAAGTTGATTGGACTTCAACTTCATCAAAAGCTACCTTGACCAAAAACTTTAACCAAAAATTTTAACCTGAAGTGGGACTGACGAACAAACAAACGAACGAACAAACGAACGAACAGACCCACAGACCAAAAAAAATAATGCCCCTAAGTGGGGCATAAAAATACATTTTGAACAAATTTTCATTTTAAAAAATAATATAACAATGCAATATCTAAGGCTGCAAAGTTGAACTTACAAGGCAATGGCTGTACTATTTCATTGTATTTGGAACATTCTGTTTTGATGATAAAAGGTTTTAATAAATTTGGCTTAATCCTAAACTTTTAACCAGGGCTTTCATAATGAGAGACTTGATTGTGAAACAGTGGGAGGATCTGAATTGGGTATTAATTTTTGTATTCTTATATTTTATAGGCTATTTTTTTCTATTTGTTTGGTCCATTATTCTCTAAAGTAAACCCTATTCAGACACTCATGTGTCATGCACACTAAAATCATAGGTTATTTCCCTCCATGAAATGCAGCTATCATCTGTTTCATTTGAAAAAAACAAATTCCAAATATCCACTACATGTCAGGTAGCAAAAACTAAAACAGGTCTGTTTTTACTATTGGTATGCTTACCCGTAGTTTAAAATATATGTTACATGTGAACAATAAATCTAAAGAAAATGCTTGAATAGACATGATAGATGATGAAACAAATATATTAATCAGTTTCTAAAAACATTACCCTGACAAAGTCTTGTTTCTTAAATCCTGACTCTTTGTCATCCAAATATCTTGGGTTAAACCATTCAAACAGAGAGTGATATAATCCAAACTTCATCTGTGTTTTCGCTCTAACTGCAGCAGCTAACTCTCCTGTAAAATATATACAATAATAAAAAACTCATTTTTACATAACATAATTTATGTTACTTTTGATAGTGTGTTTTTCATTATGCATGTTCAAATAATAAAGAACAAGATATGGACTTGACCATAAAAACTTAACCTTGTTCACTGATCCATGAAATGAGGTCGAGGTCAGATGAAAACTGTCTGACAGGCATGAGGACCTTGCAAGGTATGCACATACTAAATATAGTTATCCTATTCCTCATAATAAGAGAGAAATTAACATTACAAAAAATCTTAACTTTTTTTTCAAGTAGTCACTGAACCAAGAAACACAAAATTATGTCATTTGCTTCTTGTTTAAAAAAAAACAATATAATGTACATTGTATTCTTATATATAAAGTCTACATTTATCAATATAGATATGTATAATATCTCAATAGTATAGTAGCAAAGTTAAATAATAAATTTTCAGTACTAATGACTTTATTTTAAAGTCAAATTTACTTTTTCTATCTTCTGATGTACAAAAAAAAGTACTTATGATATATGATCATAAGAATTGTTAACTATATTTTTTTAGCTACTTCCATAAGACATAAAAGCTAGAAGAAATTTTGAGCAACATGTAAATTGGACAAAAGAAAAAAACACCGATTATATAAAATGTCCAACATATATTTTTTTTTAAATATCATAAAATGCTTATTCATCACATAACTCATAAATGTATAGAGTGTTTTCAATTACATTGAATTTTCTATTCAGTTGTTGATAACTGAGTATAATATTGATCAATAGATGTATATGTCTTATATACTATATTGTCGAGTTGTTTTTTCAATGACTTCTACCAAGGTGTAACCCCACATCTCCCTAAAATAATAATAATAGTAACAAACAGTATTATAAAATTCTTACCAACAAGATCTCTGTTAGGACCAGTAGCATTAGAATTCCAGTTAAAGGAATACTTGGATGGCCAATTCGTGTAACCTTCATGATGTTTACTGACTAATACAATGTATCTATAATATAAATGCAGTGAATAAAAATCAATCTACATGTAGAAATGTATGATAAGTGGCAAGGTGATGAAAAAGTATTAGCAAAAATAGCAAACTCCAAGGAATCAAAAATTTTGTGAGGGGTTCTCGCCTGTGATTGCTGCTGTCATGTGTAAATGTGTAATATTCGCTGTTAAAAGATTTTATTTTAAATCAATATTTTTCTTCAGATGCTATTTCTTTATCTTGAAGATTAGCTTCTGTCCAAGTTTAATAACAATAAATGAAGGTCTACAAATTTATTATGTCAAAATAACTTAATCCCAGACTGTCTGTAAATGTTTACTGCAAAAAAAAAGTCCATCTATATTTTAAAAAGTGAAATACTGACAAAGGCAAAAATATATTTTCAAAATTTTGCTTGACATTATCTCTAAATCGTTTCCAAGTAGGCCTAGGTCAACCATAAATTATTTTGTCTTCTCTCAGCGAAAAGGACAATATAATTTACCGTTGACTTGCAAGGAAAGCCTGCTGCAAATGATTCCAACAACAGAAATATTTTTGTTATACTGAACCTTTTGTAGATAATTTAATATAGGTTTATGACATAACAAGTTTCAGTGAGATAGACAACTGTAATTTACAATATAAAAGAAGTTCACAATCAAGTGTCATTTATCAAAAATGCAAGTTGGGTACCTTGTGTTATTTTAACAGTTTAAGGTACTTTGCATATAGGTTATTTATTTTCAGACAAGTGCTTGACTGTGACAGTACCTCACAAGATACTTTCAGCAAGGGGTACTGAGCTGCAGTTTCTCATAATCAAAACATCAGACTTTTTTTAACTTGCACATATAAATATTTTCCTTCACCTTAATTGTCACACCCAGCAATAGTGCGATAATACATGTACTCAATTAGAGGACTGCAAATACATGTACTCAATTAGAGGACTGCACTGAAGAAGAACAATTCTTACTTTGCACCAGAATCCTGAAACATTTCTGCCCATTCCTCTGGAACAAAAAATTCTGTTGTGAACATAGCTGCAAAATCTGCATAAGTAAAATCTGGACGGTAGTTTTTCTGCATGTAATCCACAACAGCCGGCATTGGTTTGCCTTTCCATTGCCACCAAAACCACTCCGATGAAAAGGCTGGTACAGAAAATACACCCCAGTGAATAAATATACCAAGCTTAGCATCATCATACCATGATGGAAGTGGTCTTGCGTCTAAAGAATCCCATGTTGGGTCGTATTTCAATGAATTAACAAACGAAAACAACAAGACAAAACAAACCAGGTAAGTGGCCATTTTGTTTTCACGTGATGAAAACGATCATGTCACATGATATGTAAACTCAGGTATTAGTAATTTACATGCAGACCAGAGCCAGAGGCTGGGCTAAAAGTTGGAAGCGACAAGAGATTTTTTACATGAAAACATAGCGGAACTATCAATACGATGCTAAATATTCGTGGCAAAGTTATTTTGAATATTCTCTGTCATTTTATCTATAAACCTCAAAGAAGTCATTTATAAGAAGTATGCCACAACGGTCGCATAGACCACACTCACATCGAGCTCACCGAAATTGGGCAAATACACAAATCTGCATGTTTTTTTATCAATTGTTAATAATTCTTCATTTTTGTTGTTGTTGTTTGTTGTGGGATCATTCAAAGATAGCTTAATATCAAGAAATTTAATATGAGGAAGGCGCTACCTTAAATGCCAGCTTTATACCAAAACTATGTCCTATATATTGATTGATTGTTGGTTGCTTAACGTCCAGTGGCAAATATTTCATGCATGTTCAGGACGAATGTCCTACATATCTGTATAGTTTTTGTCTGAAATAAAATAATAAGTTCAGATGGAAAATGTTTAGGGAAAGATCATTGAACTTTAAAAGGCAGGAGGGGTATGGTATTTTTTTGCTTTGAAGTGTCGCAGGAAGGCGTCAGAGCAAAAATTTAAAATAGCCTACCTAGACATCATAATTATTTGGACTAGTATTTTTCTTAAAAAATTGATGGAAAAAAAAAATACTCTGTTCAAGCAGAGGACATAAAAAAATATTCGGAATCCAGATTTTCCCCTTACCTTCTAGTGTAATATTTTGACTATTTAAAATAATTTTGATTGATAGCATTGAAGCGCTTCACGTGTAAAAAATTTGACTCAAACAAAAAACCATACCTCCCCCCACTGAAGCTAAATGGTTGCTCCCTCATTGTTTTCTGCTGAAACTGAATTTATTGGTGATTTATATAAATGACAATGCTTACATTCATTATCTTGTGCATTTTCATATCCATTTTTCTTTCTTTGCAAATTTTACAAAATTTAAAACAATAAGACATTTGTTTAATTTCAAAACTATGAATACTGTTATACAATCCATAACTTTATATTAAATTAATTTTTTGTTTATTTTCATGAAAAGGTGGAGGATTTGGAATATCTTTTTCATCAATATCTAAAAGTTGTAGCTGTTTTTTTTATTTAGTATTGCAAACAACGCTTTCTGTTTGTTGAATTATTTTTACTTTCTAAATTAGCTGGTTGTTCATATTGTATTCCCAGTTTCCTGCATCTCATATATATGTAATCAGCAAGAGGATCTTTCTGATTGTTAAAAAAGAAGAGTTTGAATTTACAGTGAGCCTGTTTAGAAGAATGTTTTGATCAGGTTTTTCATTTTGATCTAAGCACAAGGAACCATAAATAGGATTGTTAAGTTGATAATCTAAAGATTTTGCTATTTGCTGGGATGCTAATTAAAATTTGAGGGGAGAACACTGCTCAGCAGTATAAATGTATTCCTGATCATTTTCTGTTTGTGGGTTTCTACATCAATTTCATGTACTTATTCAGAGTCAGTTTTATGTCATTTTTGCATTTTGTTTTATTAGCTTACTTTTCAAGTTTTTATGCGACGGCAAAATAAAATTCAGAATGGAAATGGGGAATATGTCAAAAATTTGCTTTCGAGTAATGCAATCATGTCACTGTTGTTGTCCGAAGGCACATTTGGTTTCCGGACAATAACTTTAGTTTAAGTAAATGGATCTCTATGACAATGTATGAAATTGTACCAGAAGGTTCAACTTCAATACACAAAAGGAAGGTTAGAATTGATTTTGGGGGTTGTCGTAATTATTGTACCAACAGTTTAGGAGTCCGTGGTCAAAAACAACATTTTTTTTGGGTCTTTTTCTCCAAATATTTACCATTTTTACATTGATTATTTCTCATTTATATATAAATGCAACAAATACTGATATGGCAGGTGATACACACGAAACAGGGTGTGTAAATTATTTTAACGGTAATCTGTGCATTTTTCCTTTGATGTGTACTTCTTGATAATGTCAACGTCAGTATCAGTGAACTGGTCATGATAAAGAAAATATATTGGGTCAGTTCGCAATTGACATGCACGAGTGCACCGCAAAAGGATCTTCTTTCCCTTTAATTCATAAAATTGCACATGATTTTTTTCGCAGAAACGCACAAGTTATTTCATGAATGAAACACTTGTCATTGTTTGAAACTTTTAGTAATCAGCTGGTAATAAAAAGTTAGTTTAGCCTTTTTGGACGATTCACTGATTGTGTGAAAATTTGAACAGAAAATGTACAATAAACCTCAGTGATAAAATTGCGTTATCTGCAGAATTATCGATAGCTTCCCTTACAATTCACTAGGACATATAACTAACATATCGTCCATGCTATTCCGATCTGAGTTTTTATTCAAACATAGTCTTGCATGGCTGGTGCTGTTCAAGTTGTCTTCTTCTCTGCATGTTTCTTGAGAAGTATTTGTTTGACCTGGTCAGTCACTATAAAGTGTTACAATTCATATTTAGACGCAACACATAAATAGTGACCAAAAAGGTACCGCTTTCACATGTATGACATGAGAGAATCTAGAAAAAAAATTAAATGTACACATTTTCAACATTTTTGTGGGACTATCATATAAAATTAAGGAGATATGTACTTGGAGACTGCTGCTGAATAGAAATGTTCGGGCTCACATTATACCCATTTTCAAATAAGTCCATATTAAAGTTTGAAGGGTCCAAAATTAAAATATGTTTGATTTCAACTGACATAAAATTTTTGGTGTTTTTTATATGCTAAATCTACATCTGTGGTTGTATCAGGCTGTGATTGGCGAAGCATTTTATTGCTTTTTTGTTTGTACTTTATTTTATTTTGGTCATGAAAATGAAATTGTAGTTTTGAAATTGCTAACATTTTTAAAAGATGATAATTAGATAACTTCGCATGGTGACAACACTGACGTTTTCGTAGATTTACTTTTTCCCGGGAATGCTTCATCTGTTGATATATTCTCATTGTGAACGATTTGTGTATATCTAAATATATTAACAGATGTTAAAAGACATGTATAATGTCAAATCATAACAATACAAATTGTTTAGTCTCAAAGAAAACTTGTAAGATTTCCGCAGTTATTTTTGTTGAATATGTGCAAATTGGGTACTCGGTGCAATTTGGGAACTGTGACGTTATAGCCATAAGTGTTTATTGCTTTAATAGGTTGAAATGTGCACCTGATAAAAGTATTCAGTAGAGGGAAAATGTTTTGATCAGGTTTAAACTGACGCATGAAATATACAGGGGACTGCGGGAGGCAATTATTTATATTGCATCCAAATAATGTGTCGGCAGCTTGAATTTCAAAGGATGTAGCCCACATACTTCCAAGTAACATGCTCTATACCTATCAAAAGTCATGGTATTATCATGGGTTATTATAACTCCATCTTCCCATAAAATCCTATTTTGGACAATATGGGTGCATACAATATATATGTACCTATAAATGTATCACTCTGACTCAGACTCAAGTCTCCTTTTACAGCTGTTTTAATTTATGATGAAACTCCTGGGACTGTTTAAGGTAGATATGTGTCATAATTAATGTCAAGATTTGTTGAGAGTTTGTCAAAGGAAGTACAGTCTACAGATAGTGAAAGTATATATTTTCTTTGTTTAAAACTTTTGTTAAGTCTTGAATTTCACCTGCATTTGTCTGTGAGCTACAGGAATAACCGTGATCACATTCAACAGTATAACCAACTTCATTATCACTGTAACTTGATATGGGTCTGGGAAATTCTGTAGCAGATGAATAATAGTGGTCATGGTCAACCAAAGCCTTTTGGCAAAGGCAGAGCACCGGATTTTACTTCCTCCGGCTACGTTAACGTTTCTCCCGAAATTTATTGCTTGCAAAGGGTTTTTCTGTGTTCCCATGGCTGGACGGAACTTTTACACTACTAATGTTATCATAAATTATGATATTGTAACTTTTAAATGAAGTACCTGTGGTTATTTAGGAAATTTGTCACTGATGATGGAAAGATGAAGCAGACGATAAAACTGAAACATGGCGTAAGATGTTGTTGTCTAAACTTCGGTTATTTCCGTGGAACAAAAAAATTTAAATAAACTACACAGGTTACTAAAATTTCTAAATTCTTGTTTTTGTAAACAAATAAAAATTCTTGTCGTATTAAACAGCGAATTTATTCCGTTTTGTCCCGTTTTTTCAAGATCGCGATTAAACGAGAATCTGGCAGCCATTAAAAATATAAGGGTTAAACTAATGTCCTGAAAATGTCCTGACGGATATTCCAATGCTAATTTCGTTTTCATTATTTGAAGAATTGACTTTATATTTGTAGCCAAGCAAGAATACAATATTTATTTAATAAATATAATGAAAAAAAAAAAGAAAAAATAAATTTTAAGAGTTAGATAACTTGACTTGATCAACTTCGAAATTTAAAAAAAAAAAATTGTACGAGATTTAACGAGAGTGACGAAACTTTTTAGATTGATCATGTAGAGAGAGTTATCGTTCTTTATTCCAATTCGATGCTTCTACCATAAGTGCCAGCTAAAGCTGGCATAATAATTAAGGAATGGACTGGCTTTTTCCTAACTTGTACTTTTACCAACTCATACCAAATTTCCGCATATTAAGCATATGCAATATAATATGAGGAAGGCGCTACCTTGAATGCCAGCTTACCAAAACTATGTCCTACATATTGATTGATTGTTGGTTTGCTTAACGCCCAGTGGCAAATATTTCATGCATGTTCAGGACGAATGTCCTACATATAGTTTTTGTCTAAAATAAAATAATAAGTTTAGATGGAAAATGTTTAGGGAAAGATCATTGAACTTCAAAAGGCAGAAGGAGGTATGGTATTTTTTTTTGGTGTGTCGCAGGAAGCATCAAAGCAAAAATTTAAAATAGCCTTCCTGGAC